CAAACACATGCACATCTCGTTTAGGCAAAAGAAACATTGACTGTTGTTCAACCAATAATGATGTAATTTCATTCTGTTTTTCCAAAACTGTAAGAAAACGTTTATCCGAGGCATTCTCTGTCATCTGTGGCGGGGGTTCAGAATAAGACTGCGGAGCAGCCTGACACGCCGCACCACTAGATGGGATCATAACTGGTAAACCGGCCCCAATAACGCCAGAGTTCCGGTTAATACTCTTAGACCTTACTGCAGCACTGATAGATGGAGCATTCCATGTGTTAACGACAGGCACGAATGAACTAGCTTTTGCATTTAAACTAACGGCCTTGGGTTCTCCCATACAAGATCTTTTCCCATCAGATTTAGCAGACACATGAGATCCTTCTGAGGCCTTTAATATATTTACTTTGGCCATGGACGCAGCCAGCTCCATGTCTAAGTCAAGGGCCTCTTTCTTTCTCCTCAATAAATCCTGCTGCTCCTCCATTTTCCTTCGCAGCTCGTCCTGCTGTGCTTCTATAACATGTCTCTCTTGGAGAAGTTTCTGACGGGCCATAAGAGCTGCTGTCTCTGCCTCTGCTTGTAACCTGGCAGAGGAAGTTGTCGACACAGACCTGCTCACTACTGTACTACGCCTTTTAGATTTATTGGAAGTGTTTGAAACACTGTCACTCGGTTCCACAGTCTCAACTACATTATTTACACGTGTCATCTCATTTGTAATGCTGCCACTTAAAACAGCAGTTTCAACAGTGCGAGCTCGAAACACAACAGCGCCCTCTGCAGGAAACACATCGACAACACCAGGCAACTCCAACAACCACTTATTAGTTTCTTCCGCAAAACTGGTTTTAAGCTCCGTGACACTTTCAAACCATTCATTTTGCTTTTTTTGTTCCTCTGATGGAAGCATAGGAATCACATTATCATGCAGCTGACAGGCCTCACTGTACAAACCAGACACAGTTTCCAGACAAGAACGCACCATTTCAACATTTTCAATATTTTTCTTTAACTCAGATATGTCTCTCATTGTAGTCTTCATTCTTTTGACTTTGGCTTTTCTCTCATCCTGAAGCCTTTCCAGCTTCTGTTCAAAAGCCTTTTCCGTAAGCTTTATTGGCCTCTTAGCGGATTCATTTGACTCCATTGTTCATTCACACAAAAAAATCCAATATCCAGGAAAAAAACTCCAAAATTACACACAGTGGCTTTAATTTTCCAAAACACTTGAACAATGTACTGCAAGCGGTCTTCTCATTCCCCCTAATCTCTCCGTTGGCACTAAACTAGACTCAACCCTAGTCTTCTGTGCGTACTAGCGATGGGGTCTTATGTACCTCGGATATACCGATAGACTGACGCTGAGCAGAGCCCAGATCAGATCTACGGCGGTACTCCCAAGCAAATGCTTTACCCGCTTGACGCACGAGCGACCCTACAAAACAACAAAAATAGCGCTCCACCTTGTGTGAAACGCCACTGAGCCTAACCGGGGAATATAACAGTCAATGCGAACCAAACACTTGCAGTACCTCACGAAGCAACTGTGTTAATCCATTACGAACAAGTTTGTGAATGAATGAGACATCTCCAATGCGCGTTCACGTCTATCATTCCGAACTTTCAACGCGATCCGAAAGCGTTAAAAAGGGTTAAATGACAATACGATGAATCCTCGCATGAAAATACATTTCTGTTGACAAAATATTGCGGCGTAAAATGTCCAAACTGAGGCAATACGCCGCGGCAGGCTAAGACACGGGCTTTGTTGCTGACGCGTAGATTCATTCGTATGCAGATAGGGACTTACTTGATGTTTCGTGGAGTTGACTCAGTTGCCCTTCCGGATGATGATGGATGTACAGAATGTTGCTTACGGTCAACAGAAAGTAGCAGCCCGTGCTCACCCTGCCATGATGCCTAATCCCACAGGTGTGCACATGCCCCTCTTAAGCCCAACACAGGTGCAGCCTAATTGAGAGACACTCTAAACTGCCACCCAGTGGACAAACTAGGACAGTGCGTGAGCCCTCAGCCGTGTAGATACTAAAATAGAAAAAGCTAATATGTGGCTCCTACATCTAAGCCTTGTAAGATAAGAGATCCTTTTTTGTCTCACAGTGGGGAAATTTCCAATGTTGCAGCGCACATACAGAACAGTAGTAAGAGCACACAAAGTATACAATATAAGTAGCTGCTATGTTTCTTAGCTAGCTGTAAATGCTTCAATATCAATATTTCGATATGTGACCTGAGCACAGGAGGCCTTTGTTTCAATGATATCAGTGGATTTGGTGCAATAAATTCAAACATGAATTTTGCCATAACAATCTCTATCCAACTATAGTGCAAAGTTACATACATAAAGTGCAGAATAAGTAGATAAAGTGACATTCAATTGACCTTCTGAAATGGCTGTATTGCACATTGACTATTTACAGAGGAATGCTCAGCAGTTCTCATTGTACAATCTGACAGCAGAAGGAAGGAAAGGCCCACGGAAACCTCTCCGTCACACAGCGAGGGTGAATAAGTCTGCCACTGAAGCTACTCTCCAGAGCAGACAGAGTGTCCTGCAGGGGGTAACTAGTTCCTCATGGGTTTGGGTCTATCACTAATTTTCACATGGATGTACTGTATTCGGCCCCTGTCACGTCTTTAGATCAGATTTTTTAGACAGAAAAGTGAAAAAGAGTGGACCACCCTCACTCAAACCATGTGGACAAATCAGCCCAAAGCATTCTTTCTTCATCTTACTAGAAAACATGTTCATTTCTGCGTACCTGTAAGAAAGATCTGTGCGAGTCACTATTTGATCCTTTGGGATGAGATCTAATTGGCTGAGTCTCTTTTTCACTTTCTAAGGTGACAGAGGCATGTGAAAACTAGTGATGGAATCAAGCTGTTTTAAAGGGGACATATCATGAAAAATCCACTTTTTGTGCCTTAAATGCCTTATGTTGTGTAGTTGGAGCCTCTAGAAGTGCAAAAAAGTTTAAATCAGTCTCTTCATGGGTTGCAGAGAACACTTCATATTCTGTTTAGGTAAGATATTTCAACCCGTTCTGATTTTGCCATTCTCTATTACGTGTTTAGAATTATTACGTCACAGTATTTGCAGCGAGACTGCTATATAAGGGCATGGGCGTCTAACAAAACACTTCGGCCCAGCCCTCCTCTACTGTGCATCACTTCGAATTTGTAGTCCAAGCTCAAGGATGCCAGCGAACAGGGCTGGACTGGACATCGGGCGTACCGGGCAATGCCCAAAGGGCCGATGCCCATATTTGGGCCGGTCTGTCTGCCTCATACAAAACACATGTTTATGAGAAGTGTAAATCCGTTGAAAATGGTTTGAGCGGGGCGCGCGTATCCGCGGGGCACCTGCTGTATGTACTCGAACGGGATTCCGCCACCTCAGCGGCCACAGTGTTCCGGGGCATCTGCGGCCGCTTTGTAATGAGCAGCTTCCGCGTCCAGCGGCTGCGAGAGGCTGTGAGCGTCCAGCCGCTCGCAGCCGCTCCACCGTGTTGTGGCTGAGCGCGCAGCCTCAACGTGGCCATGTACCCAACCCCATAAACGCAGGACCATGCGTGTCTTTGAGTAATCTGTGCATCCAATAAATACACTGCTGCAGGAAACAGTCCGCGTCTCCCCTCTCCTCTCGAAACGCGATTAAACGCCCTAAATAAAGCTCTGATACCTACATTTTGCATTGAATAAAAAGTTCATGTTTGAGCCCAAAAGTAATATGTTGTGAACAAATTAAACAGATTTAGAGCCAGCTAATGGCTGACAATATTCATTTCAGTCTTTTTTGACCAATTCTCATCCCTGTAACAAACAATAGTGTTGTCTGTGTCCACCTCCCTCACTCTGAGACATGTTTATTACTCTCTTGTAATGTAGACTATTGCATTTTATTTTATTGTTGAAACTGCACATATCCTGATCCTCTACAGTATTTGCTTCCACATACTGTATAAACTAGGAGTCGGCAACCTGCGGCTCCGGAGGCGCATGCGTCTCTTTCCTTCTGTAGAAGGAAAAACGTTCTTAATGTTGTTAAATGCTGTAAAATTGTGCATAAGTAATATTCAATTTAAACATTTCTGTCAACGTAGTGCGTCATATCCTGCGACGTAGGCGGCCGCTGTTGTAAACAAACCGGCGTGTGAGCATCATAGACTGTGCGCATCCCAAAGCTAAAAAGAGAAGAGTCGATAATAAGACTGGACTAAGAATGAAAATTAACATTTGCTTTCAGTCAATGAGGAAGGCTTGCTTCATGTTTGCGATGTCATGAGAAGTTTCTATGAGATAATTGTATTTGTGCTTAGTAACTACAAAAATGGCCGCTCGGGGTGGAGTTGAACCTGTGTCACCTGGATGGGGGCGTGGTCAAAAGCGCCTCATTTGCATTTAAAGAGACAGTACCAAAACAGGTTGCTCTCAGACGCACCTCAAAACAGGTGTAGAAGAAAGGCCCGTGGAGCTACAAATAATGAGACTCAGACCCAGGCATTGCAGTTACGCTTTATATAGACCACAAATTAATGATTTAGATGTAAAAATCAATTATTTGAAAACACGATATGTCCACTTTAAGAACAAGGAACTAGTGTCATGGATTTGATTTCATAGTTAAATGTTTTGTGGTTTGAAAGTTGAGTACCCCAGCTTTAATACTGTCGTTTGATTCTTTCAGCTTATGAATTTCAATTTCAAAGACAAATATAAAATGGCCCACAGCGATTCTCCTGCTGTTTTGTAATCGCAACAGTGGCACATTTGTTGCTTCAATATTATCGTTATATGCAATTAAAAAATATATATATATATTTAACAATTATTAGACCAGGACAGTCCCATTGAGATTAAGATCCTGTTTTTTAAGGAAGTCCTGGAAGACATCTGTGTGTCTATATATTGCCCATCAGAAGTTTTATTGTGACGGGTGTAATCTTAACATTTTTTTTTCCTTTTCCTTTTTGCAGGTGACGGAGTTGGAATGTGTCAGCGGTCAAACCACAGCAATCAAAACCCAGAAGACAGAACTCAACAGAACGATAGAGGAGTTAGAGTCTGCTTTGAGGGACAAGGAAGAGGTAGGATGGACAATGTTATATTGTAAAAACATACATGTATATTTAATTCTGATTACATGTTTCTTCAGGAGCTGGAGCGGCTCAAAGCTGAGATTGAGAGCACCAACGTGTTTCATTACCAAAAAGACTCACTCTCACAGAAACTCCAGGTGAGCTGCACATTCATCACATTCTGGTTCGGAGGCAGAGTGTGATGTGGATTCTGTTCTGAGGACATTTAATGACACTAGCCAGTTACAACATGAATGAATTAATGTTTATCTGAACATAGAATAAAAACAACAGAGTAAGAACAGAAAAAACCCAACAATAAATACAAGACAACAATAAAAAGAAAAATATCAACACCAAGACATAACATATTCATGAATTCCAAGCGCCGGTGATCCAAGATGGCGCCCTATTCAAATGAATGGCTTGTGCTCAATAGCGCATGGTACTTCACGGGCGCTGACATATCAGAGGAACTCGGTTATATTTGGGCATCGTCTGGTCCTCCCGGATCTGCGCAGTGGATGAGCTCCCATGAAGTGTTGCGCCAAATACGCGCCTGTGGCTCTCATGCACGTGCACAGAGGGGCTCGGCCGCGCTCTGATTGGTCAGAGCAGCTGCAGAGCGGAGTCAGTGGGAAGGAAACGAGCAGAGTTTGTGGCAGTAAAGTGTGGTCTGCAGTACCACGGGCGCCCTCTGTGCCCATGGGTGGGACAGCTATAAGTTAGTAATACCCTATCCAGTTATTACAGATCCATGGTTAAATCCCACCCACTTTCCCCTATGTTAATTAATTCATTCATTCATTCATTAATTTTCAAGCCCTTTATTGTCCATTTCTGGGTCAGGGGGGTGGCAATGAGAGCTGCCACCCAATGCTCATAGCACCAGTCCCTCGCTGATCCTCTGCAGGGGGTGAGTCCACAGGAAGATGGCTGCTCTGTCAGTGGTGAAACAGCCTTGGTCTTTCAGCGGGGGCTTCAGGCAACGTGGGGTTAAGTGTCTTGCCCAAGGACACAACGACAGTAGACATATGTTAATTCAATATATTGTAATATGTAATATATGTAATAAGTAACAGAACAACATACATACGGAGACAACAGAAAACAGACACAAGGACACATGGTGGAGAGAGAGAGAGAGGCTCTGAAGGCTTTCAGCTACAGGGTGTTGACAAAGAGACACCCTCTGTGTAACATCCCCACATGTATGGGGTGTCAAACTAGGGATGTCACACTCGATTGGTCAGTCAAGGGTTAAGCTAGGACACAGCGGTGCAGCAGCAAAAGTTACACACTATTACATACAATTGCGTTCACGATCTAAATCCACACTTGTGTCTGCTCTGTTTTCCCTCAGGACACAGAGAGCCGTAACCAGGCCCTGGAGGCTCACCTGACTGAACTCGGACAGCGTCTGGAGAGCGTGCAGCAGGAGCGTGAGGCCTTCCAGAAAAGCCTGCGCTCGCTGCTGCAGCTGCTCGACTCCAAGATCTTTGAGTTGACAGAGCTGCGGGACACTCTGGCCAAGCTCATAGAGACGAGCTAGAAACCAACTGTGAGGCATCCCAGCTCATACCAGTACCTCCTTCCTTGTTCTTCTTTCCCCTTTTCTTGGATCAGGGAGAGATTCGGAACATGTTTTTTAGTAGTTTTCCTTTGTCACTTACTCACTCAAAGTTGCGCTTAGAACTATTCATGCATGTTTGAGTCATATGTATTACCCTGACGCCAAGTCCTCTGGCTATTTCCTGTGCCATCGGCTGCTCCGACCAATTCAATTCAATTTATTCTTGTATAGCCCTAAATCACAACAGTTGTTTTCCCAGAGGACTTTACAAAACCGTTGAAATTGCCAACAACAGATCACTGAACCAAGTTCCTGGTGGTACTTAAGCCGCACACTAGACTCATATGCGCTTCCCATCACAGCACTAACCAGGCTCTGCCCTGCTTCGCTGCCGGGATCTGTTTTTCATATGCAGGTGGCGCCACAATTTAATCAAACGCACAGTATATACATGACTGTTTTTTAATTACACAATCATCTTTTTATGTCAAAACTTTGAAAATGACGGCCACTTTCTAAAGCAGCGAAGAATGAGTTTTTTATTTCTTATGAGAAAATCCTCTCTACCTAAACCTCACGAGCTCAACATTTATCAGAGCCAAAAGAGCTGCTTCACGTGTGTGTGCTGTACATACAGGGGAAACCGCTGGCAACACATGGTTTCAATCTATTTATAGTCACTTTTTACTATCACTAAGCGCAAAAACGACCCGCTCCTTAAAGTGGCACTTAAAGGCGTCTTAAATTTCACTTGACCAAACCTGGTGGTACTTTAGCCGCATCCAATTTCATAGGAAAAACCTCCTACCTTGTCCTTCCTTCTCCCAATGATAAGATAAGATAAGATGGACTTTATTGATCTCACACTGGGGAAATGTACATGTCACATTTGTCATAGATAGAAAAGATGGGTGCAAAAGACAGAAGTGTATGTATCTCCAGGTTTGGTCCAATGAGATTGAAGACTTCGGTCAAATTGACTATCAGTACCGCCGTTATACAGAAGACGGATAGGATACAAAGAAGGAGGTATCTTTTATGAAGTCGGATGCAGCCCATGTGCACTTTGGAGAGACCTGCCACTGCTGTCCCCTTCGACCATGACGTGGTACTGCAGCAAAAACAAGTCACTGGCGCCATCTACTGCATGCATGAAGCCACGGCACCACCCAGCACATGCACCTTTCACGATGCTTGGTTTGGACTTTGCCTCAAAAGAAATACTCTACAAACCTACAAATCTATTATTGATCCTTTTCTGCTCACTAATGATCTGTGAGTGAGAAATAATTTTTTACATGTTTCAAAGCATTTAATCGAAATCTAAAGCAAAACCAGATGTATTTTGCCTTCTCTTTTTTCCCCTTCGCTATATATTTTCCCCCTCTCCAGTAAATGGCACCGGTGTATAAAAGAAAAACGGTACTAAACTCGCTGTGAGACAATTCCTATCCATACATTATATATATTAACTAATTTATTAGTAGCAATACTATGGGTGCTGGAGATGCCATTATTATTATTATTATTACCCCCTTTTTTTATGCAAAATTAAAATGTATTAGTAGATTATAATTCACCACTCTCATTTTGATATTTGGTGGAAGTGTGGGGATAGGGAAGTCTGGGCGTCTCTGCTTGGACAACTGCCCCTGCAACCCGGCAATGGCTGAAGCGGAAGAAAATGGATGGATTTACAGATATCAGAATGCACTTACTGTATACAAGCTGTGTAACTTCTGTTTTTATTGCATCATGAACAATTTAATTCTTTTTCACCTTTTGCCACAATCCAACGTGTGTATATATTGACTGGTACGTGGGTGTCAAAGTTTTGTTTTGACATCAATTGCAATATTTTGAGTATTTAGCAATGGAATCGGCAGGAGGTCGCAGGTTTAATGCAGATGATTTTTTGCCAAATAATGTCGTGTACACTGCTGACGTCGCCTTGGTACAGACATCAATGGTAGCTAACTGCTTTACTATTGCCAAAAATATCATTAATGAAAGGTTTGTTTACCTTAAAAGGGCTTCTTGTTATGGTACATGTGAGAGATCTGCGTGACTGTATCACCGTGACAAATACTGTTTCATATTCTGAAAGGGAAATTGAATTATTTTAAATGTTGAGTACATCACATGCTTAAAACACAAATTGTAAGTTTGACTTTTTAGTAAAATATATTGAAACTTATTGTCATGTGTGCTTGTCTTCTCTTAAAATCAATCCTAAACTCCACCATGTTCGCAAAAACATTTTATTTTGAGAAAAGTAAATCAGATATAATTGACAAGACAAACTTATTGTAAACCATGTAAAATGCAACAGACCATACAAAGGATATTTACATTGGGTAATGCTTTAAAATTTGAAATATTAGGTTTTAAATAAATACTTTGACATGCTTACATTATTTTAGAATTTACACTTTCAATAAAAACGTCTGATATTTTCATTATTGCACTTCTGATGAAATGGGTTTGTAGCCAGTTACATGCAAGAACTCACACAGGGGAAAACATCACAGACGGGGAGGGGGGGGGGCTTTGGAAACGCAGGGATATTACACATGTAGAGGACAATCACCAGAAAGTATAAAATATGTTAAAAAATTAAAAAACACACACACAAACTCACAACTTAATCCAAAAAGCTGGTGCGGGCTCGTCTCAGTTTGAACGCAGAGACATTTCCTTCCAGCAGAGGGCGCACAAACTCACTCATTCCTATATCGCTGTGTTCAGATGGTTTTTGTATCTTTTACTCAAATACTGACTTGGTCGCGAGCAGCACAGTATATAGGACGTGTTGTTCTGTCATTGTTGGACATCACACTTCACTGCGCACACACAAGTGGCACATGGAATGACAAGACATCGACGTGTACTTCCTCGTATATTAAGACTAAAAAATAAGCGACACAAAGTAGCTTCCTCATACAATGGAATTTCTTACAGTGTGGTGTATTCTATCGCATGTAATTTTCAACATTAAAATCCATTACTTCATGAAGAACTCCTGATTTAAAAAAGAAATTGAGAAATGGCCTTGATTAAAAATACAGTACGTTTACATACAGTACTTACGAGAATAACAAAAGGTGATAGTAAAACGTGTTTGCTGAGGCGTAACAAATCCATTACAGCAAACAAGAGCAGATGCACGTGAGACATTGAGAGGTTAAAGGTTGTCTTCTTGTCAATAATTCGTATAACTTCTCATATTGGTCTTACAAAAAGTAAAAAAAAAAAAAGATTACAGCAGTAGGAAAAGGCAAGATCCTGTTATACAAAACTTTACTGCTCGGATGGCCATGTGTCGTACTACATCATGTAACTTCAGATCACTGCGTTCGCTCCGTCTCAGACCATCTGCCTAAAAAAGGTAAAAGTGATGGAGTAAACTAGTTTTCCCAATCGGTGCAGGGAAGGCCTTCGTCTTCGGACTCGGACTCGGGAGAAGCCTCTTTGATCCTCCTCAGTGCTTCGTGGATGCTGCGTGTGAGGGCGTCGGTGGAATGGGGGAAAGTCTTGGAGTGGCGCTGCTGCTCGGGCCGCGCTCTCACCTTCCTCAGCCGCACGCCCTGTCGGATCTGGGCCAGGATGTTGTTGCTGTCGTCGTCGGGGTCCGGGGCCAACACGCGCAGCTCGGCCTTCCTCAGGTGGAAACTGCCTCGCTTCAATGAGGCCAGGACTTCATCCATGGGCGAGCTCGCTGTAGAAACGACAATGTAGATTCAAGATTTATTTTGAAGTTATTTGAAGTTGTTTGCCATTTGCAGTAAAACCACATCGGAAAAACTGTGCAAGACTACCCCCAGTGTGCACCAGGATAGCACACAACAGAGGGTGGCATGCGAAATTGTAATCTAGTATGATATCACTAATAATCTTTTCTTAATAAATATATATAGACAATATAAAGTGATATAAAGTTTTCTCCATTTCCAGCACCATTGGTCAAAAGTAAGATTTAGTAGTATTGTTAGTTAGTTAGTAATACTTTATCGGCCCCATAGGGAAATGTGAAATTACTGGTATAAGACTGATGCACACCCGGGGTTATTTCATCATTCTTATCTTAACATCTCATAAAAAACTGCTTTATGAACTTGATCTATAATGACGTTTACTGTGACCAACAAACCCACACATGTCTTATTTGTATCATGGCGACAGACCGACCTCTTCTCCATTGAGCCAAGTCCAACGACGACGTCTTCCTCAGTTTTTTACGAGCCGTCAACAGTTGGCTGCTGTCAAAGAATCGTGGAGAGAACGGAGCGAGGGACAGCGAGGGGCATTCGGGGCACTTCTGCTGGACCGGGCTGTTCTGGGCCTTCTCTTTGGTCACCTCCGGCTCCTCTGTGGGGGGAGGAGGGGGAGGCGGTGGAGGAGGTGGGGGCAGACCTACAGGGAGTGAAGCAGAGGCTGGAAGAGGAGGCACAGAGAAGAACGGAGGAGACGCGTCCAGAGCTGGGGGTAAGGAGGCGGTTTCACAGAAGTCTGCGATGAGAGGAGCAGGAGCCTCCTCGGTCTGGACACTGGCCGCCTGCGTCACCGGCTCCGTACCGCCTCTACGCTTTGGCGCCGTTTGCCGTAAGCGGCTGGACTTCAAGGTGACCTGACCAGGGTAGCGCTACAAGAAAAGTGGGAATTGTCAAAAATGAGATGATTGGATAGTAGTGCGATATTTGGGCCACAGCTCAATATTATGGCAATTCTTAACAAACATATTGCGCTAAAGCAAGTATTGAGATTCATATCATTCAAAGGCATTACAAAAGTTGAGGAAAATAAGACTGCTCAACTCAAACATAACATTTGTGCAGAAACATTATCCTTGAACCTTCAGGACATCTGTGAACTTCCTGAATGCAGGCCATCGAGCAGAGGGGTGATGGTTTATGTCTGTGTATTTTCTATGTAGCAGCCTGTGAGTCCAAGACACATTTCCTACAGGACATAATTTATTAATCTTGAATCTTGACTCTTGACACAGGACCTTATTCTCTGGACAGGCCTCTCACATGATGGTGAGCTCCCAGCACATCAATTACATTATTCAAATACAATAAACTACTAGAGTAACAAAAAGCAGACATCAACCTCAGATGTAAATTACCCGAGGTTTACGTTTTACAAATTGAAACAGATAATCATTTCATTAAATATCGCAGTACTTTTCTCTACTGTATGAATTTAACTGTTGTGTAAAATATTGCGTTACTGAACAGAATAGTTTTTTTCCCCTCACTACAAAACAACATGAACGGTTTAGTTGAACAAAAACAATGTGTAACACTGGTGAAAAATCCTGTAAGAGTGATACCTCGGTTTACAATACTGATCTTTGCGTTCCCCCCTGCGTGCGCGTCTCGTGACCGGAGCTGGCCAATCAGCCGGTTATATTTTTCCTAACCAGGAAGCACTGGTAGTGCGAGAAGTGCCGTGTATTGGGTTGCTGCAGGTACGGTTTCTGCTTATTTACTGCACCATAACATCCAAGGCTTATTATATGTATTGCTGTATGCAGGAGCCGAGCTACCATCACCCTAGCGCACTTAATGGAGCGTTTGATTGCTCAGAATCGGGAGAATCGGTAAGCGCTCTCATGAGCTCTCATTCATTCAGCGTCTAGCTTAGCATTAGCCGTTCCCCCTGTTTTTAATGGGTTCGGTTAGCATCTGCTATTTATGCCAATTTTCTCTGTTCTTTGTATTTAATGTCCAAACCAAATGACGATCATGTTAATGAGATTATTGTTGAATCATGACACTGTTTACATGCACTTTGTGGCGTTTTTTTTAACCTGCATATGAAATCATGTTATGATTTCATCCTTTTGCAATGCACTAGCACTTTATTTTGTAGAGTTGCTATGAGATTATTGATTGTGCAATAGCACTATGCACTTTCACTTAAATGATTGAGTACAAATAGTTAAGCATTTTTCATTGTCTTAATTATAGAAACTTTTGTAGAATAGTTATTGTGATATAGTAGCATCCTATTGCACTTTTAATTATGAAGGATGTGCATCCTATTTGAATATGTATTGACTTTGTGTACACATGGATTAATGACAAATTACTGATATATTTGCTATAGTAATTTAGAAGTGTATTAATGTAGTTTTGACGTAATTAGTATTATGTTTAGTATATACTAAATGGAGTTAATGAGGGTACTGTTCTGTTATACAGGCCAGGTTTCGATGGCGAGCTAAAGAACTGGAACTAGTCCTGGACCTGCTTGAAAACCTGAACCCACCTACCTCAATAGGGCTGGTAGGAGGCTCTTGCAGCCAACCATACAAACTCTCGCACCTTGCACTTTATCCACGACCCCAACCATTGCCTCCTTTTCACTCCTCACACGGACACTTACCTCTGGACTCAAAACAATTCTCGGGTCGTGTGGATTTCGCTCTGTTGAGCGCGTGCAGTTCCAATTGTGTTGTGCGAGTGGCCCACGGGTCACGTGTAAATATTGAACTCTAAACCTATGACTTGTGTGTGTGTATATATATATATATTGCCTTCTGTTCTGTGTATTGAGTGTATATGGGATTTGAGTATGTGTGAATGGCCATTCTAATTCTATTGTCAATATTGTCTAATTGTGTACAATACATGGTACCTTTTTAATATGCAACTACAAACCCAGTCTTTGCCTCTTCTCTCCCTGAGTCTTATCTATTCTTTCTGAGTTGAACTAGCCTAACTACTGAACTTGTTGAACTACTATTGTGAGTATTTATTGTAACTAGCTATTTAATTAGCAACATAAGTGCTACAAATGCTATAACAAACAGATCTCACTTGTCTCAGGCTCCGGAGTCGGTCCAGGGTGCGCTGCCGGTCCTGGCTCACACGTGCACTTCTTTGCGCTTCATCATCAACCTCTCCCTAAACAACACAAAACCACCAACACACATGAGTCCACATGACATAACCATTACTATTCCTGTGACTTTCCCACAGAAGGATTTTCAGGTTAAATGTGATGTATGTGTGTCTGGGTTTAGCTTCTTGTTTTATCTGGTCAGAGGAGCCCTTCTTACCTGCTGGGGTTGGATCTCACCAGAGCCATGTTTCTGGGGTGACTTCTGTTTGTGACTGGCAATACAAATGTCCTGTAGAGAATCCATGTGAAAAGGTGAATTTCTATTTTCCAGTGACGCTGTGTTTAGTGCATCGTACAAACTAACCTTCTTATTCTTGAGGTAGACCTTCTTAGCAGTGATCCGGCCTCTGCGTGCTTCTAGCTGCCTGGTCTTCTGCTGAAGGACGCTCAGTTCTTCATCTCCGAGAGGGAACAGGGGCGGGGAAGGTTCTTCAAGACACTTAATGGCGTCAGGACTCTCAAACGCATCATAGTAGACCACTTCATCTTGTCTCTCTGACAAAAAGAAGCCCAAGTAAGTATTGTTTACTTAATGACCTGGACTAGGACTGTAAAACTCGCACTGTATAGTCACTTTAAAGTAGCAATAGCAAAAAGATTTTCATGTCAAGTCATCATGAGATGGCCCTAATCTGTCAAAAAGCATTAATAAACCTTTTCTTTTCCAAAATGTCTTTAACTGATATCATTAGTTAATACAACATTTCAAAATGACTTTTACAGCCCCAAAATGTTGTTATTGTCTTTATTTCAATGTCCCGCCCTCCAACGTTTTACCAATCAGAAAGTCCGTGATCCGGGTTGCCAGAACTCACCGCGTCGAGCTAATCTCACTGGTAAAGTTGTTGTTGACAAAACTCTTGCCTGTTCAGTTATTATGGTCTCAGCTGGATTCGTTTGCATAGCTGGCAAGCTGAGTCAGGGAGAGTGGGAGAGGATGCAGTATCACTTTTGGCCAGATTTTTACATACTGCACCTTTTTTAATTTACATAATATATCTTGCACAAAGGAGACTATATTGTGACTTTTTTAACATGTTTGCACACTTCCTGTCTTTTTGCACACCATGAATGATTCTATCTAAGCCAAATGTGACGTGTACATTTCAATAAAGTTTATCTGATCTTTATGGTAGAGCAGTGGTCACCTGTCATCTGTCTGCGCAGACTCTGCAGCTGCGCCGTGAGCAGCAGCTCCTCGCAGCGCAGAACCTCAAACTGGATGTCGTACAACTGCAGCTGCAGCTCGTAGCAGAGCGCCTCCAGCTCGTCCACACGCAGCATGGCCTCCTCTCCCCCGCGCAGGCTCTGCATCTGCGGACGACAACACTTCACTGAAGCCGTCGTTGAGTGAAACCTACAGAACCATTGGAGAAGCTCCCCACAATCAGCACCAAACCAGGAAGTGATAGTTCTTGTGTGAAATAAAGATTACATTTTATTTTAACATTGTAAATTCAAGTTAAGTTCAAGTCATTTTTTAATTTCAGTCTGTCACTTTCAGTGCAGTGCAGGTGCAACATGGATCAGTGTGGCAGTGAGGTTCAGAGTTATTATAGAGAATAACTGGTGATACGAGACAGTTCAGTTGTATGTGAGAATTTTCTTTGTTCATAGATCTAATTAGAAGTGTTCTCTGAATGAATATTTCATATTTTATTTGGTTTCCACTGTTTCCCTGAAGTTTGAGATGGTTCCTTAAGCATAAAACATTGTACCTCTTCTTTCAGACTGTGTTTCCTCTGTTCCAGGCAAACCTCCTTCGCTCTCATCAGCTGCAGAGTTTCCTTCCACACAGTGAACTGCATACGCTCCATTCGATCCACTGCTGCTGCCCAGGCCGATCTGCCCAACTTCTTCTGATCACATTTCATCCGCTCATATAAAGCTGCATTTGAAAACACACACACACAGACACACACACACAGACACACACAGACACAGATTGATTACATAAAAGTGGATTTATGTTTGTTTAACCCTTGTGCCACCCTCAGGTCTAAATAACCTACCACAGATGATTAAAGTAAAAGAGAAACCCTAAATTAGGGTCCAACTGACCCAGGGCTGGTCAAGTTAGGAAAAATCATCAATTTGACGTGAAAATAGCACATGAGTTAAACAAACACATATTTGTTTGAACATTGTTCATCTTTACAGAGTGTGAAGCACATGTCTGTACCCTTCTGAGCACGGGTGGTGGTTTCAAAGAACTTAACGGTCAGGTCCTGTATGGACATCACAGCTGCACTAGCCTTCCTCTGCCACTCCTCGTCTTCCCTGCGGAGGCTCTCCACTCGCCGAGGGCCCAGGCGCTCCGTCTCCAGAGAGATCTAGGACAAAGGGCACGAGCTAAGGGTCAATGCTCGCATTCTTTTTTTATACTATAAACAAACCAAATGAAAATAACTGTTCTCACATGTGAGCCGCTGTGAGATCTGATTCTGGAGCCAGATCCAGTGAAATCTGAGCCGCGTTATTGAATTACCAGGGTGAAAACTCTTACTCAACTCGATACATTAAAGATACGTCATGTAACTTTCTCCTGCAGAATACACAACGTTTGACCATTTTTCAAGTGCTATACACAAAGATGTATTATTGTTATCATTATTCATGGGGATAAAGAATACCTCCATTATCTGTGATGTCAGCTGTGAAGATGCCAAGCCCACAGTCAGCATGTTTTTGAGCAACAAACTAAAAAGTTACACATTAAGCTTTAAAGATCCAGCGACAAAACTAATGCCACGTGTCAAAGTGCTGCGGACAATACTCCCTTTAAAGAGCACAAACTGTTCACAGACTCAGTGTAATACTACCTCATTATTTTACTTGTGTGTGTGTGTGTGTGTGTGCGTGCATATGTGTGTGTGCATGTGTGTGTGTGTGTGTAGGTGTGTGTGTAGGTGTGTGTTTGAGCTGTGGTCTGACAGCACGTGAGTCCCACAGCAGTTGCTGGTTTGGGCGGGACAGAGGGGGATTGTGGGAGGAGTGATGACATCAGGGTTTGAGGGGAGACTGATCCTGCAGAAAAGCCACATTCAGGGCAATTATGTAAACGTGTTTCATCAGAACAGTTAAGTCTCAGAAAACATAGAAGTTTCAAATCTATAAACAATTGTCAATTAGTTAACATGAAGCACTTTACTGTTCGACTCGAGTACCTATAAAAGCTTGTACGGATTACAATACTTTACCTTTATGATCATTAAGTTATTTGTTCTTCTATACCAGACAATTGTAAGATAAATATAACATTTTGTTTACGTCAACACATGTCAAGGAAATAACATCACTACCTTACAATTGTCTACTAAGACGACAAGATGAACCTTCCTAAACTCGGGTTGATCTTTACTTTTGCCCAAGTACCAAGGACTTTTACCCTCTCTGGACGCACACATGGAATAGTAAAGCTCGGCACTCACTTAACTAGAGGATTATTCATGTTTTATTGTGCATCTGCAATCAGAAAAGTGTTACAGAAACCACCGCAGAAGGCAGACAGAAGCACAGAATCTAAATCTGAATCTAAAATCAACACCTCAGGAATCACTACACTGTTCTGCTTTCTTTGGTTTAAAATAGATCACTTACAATAGATCAATACAAAGAGGTCTGACGTGTGCGCCGGCATTTCGACACAGACATCAAAAAGGCATTAGCTTCTGGAGCTACCAATACATGGGACCGACACAAGGCCAGTCACATTTAGAAACACAAGATATCGCTTCAGAGATGTATTGCAATAAACTAAATTATTGAAATGAAACAAGTTACATCATCATTTCTCTATTGCTCAAAGGTGACCATATTTCAAAAAATAAGCTGCTATTTTCACGTAATTGAAGTTAAAATGTTTCAAACAATAATTATTTTTTTCGCTCTGAAGAATTCTGTTCCGTCCATTGTGTATTGAACTATGGTGCGATTTAGTAAAAATCCTGACAACTACTACAATATAAAGAAAAAAAAATCTCAATGTTTTATATAATCGACATTTGTTGCGATATTACTCTACAGATTGCAAACAGAAGCATGAGACTGAAGATTTCTCAACAGTATCTCTTAATTCGTAATTCTTCTCAATAAATTGAGGTTAAATGCATCAATAATTACACAGTCGGGTGAAGCACTGGGTCAGGGGCCAAAAATCTATGTTTTTTACTGAATTATATCAAATCTTGTAGAAGTATATTATATCCAACTGAAGTCCACTGTATTTAGAGGAGTATAGTGAGTAAGTAAGTCATCTTTAATTATATAGCATATTTTACAGACCAAGGTCACCCAAAGTGCTTTACTATTGTTGAGAGATCAAATATTTAGGCAGAGACACCCGTCACTAGGCAACAGCAATCACACAATGATTATACTTGGATTGATGCAAACAAGTGCAGAGTAAGAGACAATGGAAAAACCCAGAGTTAAAGACTTAGTTATTACTTCAATGTTCAGAGTGTATTACAAATTTATCTACACACGTCTATATGTCTTGGCACTATAATATTCAGTTTTGTACCTTATATGTTTATACTTTTTTTAAGCATAAAAAGACCTCGCGCTTTGAGGTCTGAGGGCCAGCTCCAGCTCGTGGTTCTGAAGACGAACCGTAAAACCAGAGGGGACAGAGCGTTCTCCATTGTCGGCCCTAAGCTGTGGAACGCTCTGCCCCTCCACATCCGTACGGCCCCCACCGTGGAGTGTTTTAAATCCCGTCTTAAGACTCACTTTTATTCTTTGGCTTTTAGCACCGCGTAAGTTGTGTGGTCCCCCTGTGTCTTTTTATCTATTTTATTGAATTTTATTTTTATTTGTAGTTTTTAATGTGTTTTTATTTCTATTCAGTCTTTTAAATTGTTTTATTTCTATTTATTTGGTGGAGCTCATTTGTATTGTTTTTGTTTTATTGTTATTTGGATAACGTTTGGAAACGTTTTGTTGTTTAAATGTGCTATATAAATAAAGTGGATTGGATTGGATTGGAAGCTGAAGATAGAGATTTAAGATTAGGAAGTTTATTTGGTTCTTCTGTACCAGACAAATGTGAGCTATGTTACTACCTTGACATGTTTCGACGGCATTCTTCCATCTTCCACAGAACTAGTAACATCACTATGCAACATTTGACTGGAGCAGAATAATTTAGGACTAAGATTATGTTTTAACCCCTCAAAATTGACACTACTAAAAAAAAAAAAAAAAATGAAATAAAAAATTGTCAAGCTGAATTTAGATGATTTTTCCTAACTTGCCCAGCCCTGGGTCATTTAGATTCAGATTCATTTTATTTGCCATTTGCAGTAAAACCACATTGGAATACACTTTCAAAAGTCCCTAGTGTGCACCAAACAAGTCCATAAATAAAACAAGGTAAAAAAAGTACAGGCTTCTTTCCAGAATTCACAGTGTCAATTGTTTCATGTTTTATGTATTTTTATCCGTTTTATTTATGTACATGTGTAGTGCACACTGGGGACTTTTGCAAATGTATTCAAATGTGGTTTTACTGCAAATGGCAAATTAATGAATCTGAGTCTAGAATAAAACAGGCTATAAGGGTAGGTAAGGATGGGGAATGCTTCTTCTACTTTTAATTACTGTGGTTTGTCATTTTAGAGTTGTGCTATACTCAATATTTCTATCTAGTGTCGTGCGCTCCTCATTCCTACTGTTCCGTAATTGGTGATGCAACCCTGAAATGTCCCCACTGTGGTACATATACAGAATTTCTTCATCTTAATCTTAAACCGTATTAGATAGTGAAATGGCAAAAATCTTCAAAAGGCCCGCTCCTCTTCATCACACATTCAGGTAAAGCAGGTGAAACTCGACAACACCTGCTGAAATGAAAACAATGTGAAACTGTCACCGGATCTCCTGGTGTCCCACAGTATCTCAGACAGGAAAGGCACATCTCTAATTCACGAGTGCCCCTTGACCCGACGGGAAACACGACACCATCTCCATAGACTGTAAAGACCTCGCCGTTCAACACATACTCATCGGCCTTTGTTCACATGTCACTGGTGGATCCCTCTGTCCTGTCAGTTACACCTCCTCGCACGAGCCCAACATTTGAGAGTGAAAACCAACGCGATTTGCATAAAGAGAGAGGCACGTTTCTCTGCAAAAGTAACGCCCGTCTTGAATGACCTCATGTGAGTGGACTTCTCTGCTTTTTCTTTTGTTTTTTATCAGCTCCAACCGCCTTTTACTGGCATTTATTTGCATGTAGTTTTCAACAGTTGGAGCAGGTGGCACGGATACAAGTGATGGCACTGTACACAGGTGAAAAGTGCTGAGCCAGACTAAATGTGAGTGTGAGGTTTTTGATGTCAATATTTGGCTGGAAAACATAGCGTGTAAAAGTAGTAGTCAGTTTCCCAACAGAACATATGGTCTGCTTTGTTTGATGCCTAAACTCACTGTGGTTAGAGGCTGATGCTGATAAGCTGTGTGTGTGTTTATAACAGCGGCCTTCTACTGGTTAGGTTATCATCAGGATTTTGACCCTTTTGAAAAATGACCCACTAGTGTTTGAAAGTAGAGTAAAAATACCAATATTAGGGTCTAAAGCACCCAAGGCTAAGGGTTAAGTTAGGAAAAATCATCAAAATTCAGCTCAAAAAAATAATAACATGGCGTGTGAATTTGAGGATTGTACAAGGGTTAAACAAAAACTGAAAGAGTTTCCCTGTTTTCTCTTTTGTCACTTTGTGAAAGGTCCTAGTTTACCTCCACTCACTTAGGTAAATGCATACATTCACTTATACAATGTAAAAAAGAAAAATTTAGTTCAACTCAAAATTTCAAAGCAACCAGCTGCGAAGGATTTCAGCATCAAACTAATTAACAAAGATAAAGATGGAAATGCAATCAAGAGGGGGGCATGAGATATGTCACTACTGCTTCGTAAACACATAACATACAGGGGAAAAATCACTCTATTAAGAAATTAATTGGGACAGAAATGATAGAAAAACTGAAGGACTCAGGAGAGTGTCTGTGAGTGTAAGTGGTTTAATGTCTGCAGCAGTATTACTTGCTCTGCTTGTTAAGCCGCTCTGGCTGATCTGCCTCCACCGCCCCAGATGCAGCGCCACCAACCACAGTCAAGCCATCTTCAACTCTCAAGCATCCATCACACCAGATATGATATACTATAATCATTTTTAGGGTTACTCTGTTACCGCCTCTGAATGTGGGTAGATTATTAAAGGGGACAGAATGTGCAAACTCGACTTTCCCTGCAGCTTTGGATCATGATGTAGTCGATTTCCCTTGTAGTTTACACACACACACACGCGCACGCACACGCACACACACAAAGTTGAGTTATTCATATCCTATTGCAGTGGTCCTTGGTTTATCACAGGGGTAAGTTCCAAAAAATAATCCGCAATAAATGAAATCCACAAAGTAGCAGCTATATGTTTTTAGGCTGTAAAGCCCCGTTTCCTCCAGCACAATTTTGATCTACTCTACTTTGATTGGGAGCGTTTCCACCGGCCTTGTTTAGTCTCAAAAAATCCAAAAAACAGCGAAAGGTGAAAAGTTTTATAGTGATGGGCCACTGGCCTATACAGTGATACCACCAATGACTGTATTTTTTATTGTGGTAGTTTCTCCTAAGGCGCAGTAGAGGATTTGGACACAGCTGTGGTTTATGTTTATGTGGACAGCAGAGAGAACAAACTTACACTAGCAACAAAACAAGGGACTCTTCATGTGATTATGGCCATAGTTAAAACAGAGTTTATTATTTTGACGACATCCAGGTTTAGTAGCTGAAGGATCCATGTTCATTGTGTTATTTACACAATGAATGTTATCAGCTTTGATCATAACAAGTCGTTATGACAGTTGTGCATATGCTTTGTGTTTTATCAGCTGTTACTGAACAACTATGTCACAACATGAAAACCTGCGGCTTAAATTCAAGTGCGGCCTATATGCTGACAAAACTTAGTAAGTTGCTGGGCAGCTTCATATACAGGTGCACATAGTCCAACAAGTACTACAGTTAGTGCTGTCCAAAATATCGCGTTATTAACGCAAATCAATATTAACGGCGTCATTTTTTTTATCGCGCGATTAAAACCCAGAAGAGGGGGGGGGGGGGGGGGCATGAAGTGGGAGATGGGGGGGAGGGGTTAATAAAAAAGGCAATACAAGCTAACAGTATACAGTCATAGATATACCGAAAGTAAACAGAGAAACAGCATAGAGTATTTACATGAACAAATTTACAAAATATTAAAAAAAGCAATTGCACACAGCACGCCTATTCACTTTTTAGTAGTATTAAAATGATAATTCAAGGGACATAAAGAATAGATACAAATGTGTGACTAATTTGCGATTAATCGCGAGTTAACTATGAAATTCATGCGATTAATCGCGATTAAATATTTTAATCGTTGGACAGCACTAACTACAGTACTACTACAAAAAAAACATTCAAACTTTTTCTAATGGCTTTTCATTGAACCATGCAAACTTGTTATATAGTGAATAGTTTAATTTGGTTCCATATAGATCTATTATTAATATCAGGGTGTCCTTGATGCATCCCCAAATATTAAAAAGCGGTTTATCTTTTATAAGAATCCAACTGAAACGCATATAAAGATGTCTGTTACATTCACTACAGATCTTGTTGTGGCTATAGAAGCTGATGCCTTTTTTGTTTTGCATAACTGTGTTTGTCATGTTGAATCATGTGAAAATGTGCAGGTTACAAACCAACTCTAGTTAGTATTTATTTATTCATTCATTTGTTTATTTGTACATGAATGAACATTACTGTAAATGTAACAGAAGTATAGTAGTTTCCATAACTATACTATTTGTAGTGTTGTGGTGCATTAGTGTCACCTTGATCTGTTGTCTCCGCAGCATCCCCAGCTCCCGCATGTCCCTGAAGGGCTGCAGCAAGTAGTGGTAAAGCTGAGTCGTGGCCTCCAGGAGATCGCTGTAAGCTTCATCCTCCTCAGAGTACACTTGTAACAGCTCCACCATGCTGTCTATGGCTTTGTGCTTCTCCAACACCTACACACACACACACACACACACACACACACTATTAGCAGGGAGAACATGAACCAAAACATGCTTAAGATGGAAAAATGTCATCCAGTTACTGAAACTTGTGGGCTTAAAATCTGACAATTATCACATGTATAAGTGTAACCCTGATGTATTTTAGAGAAGGACCTCAGGAAGTAAAAAAATACTGAGAATGTTCTGAGAAAGGAACCCTGCGGCACTTTCATCCACTTTAAGTGGTCAAAGGTGTTTGACCATTCCAGAACTGAGCCCCAGACTCCCACTCAGTGTTGCAGCTGACGAGGAGGAGGCTGTGACCGGAGTGAATGCTGAGGTTAAGTCTATAGGGCTCTAGAATGTGTCACTTTCCCGTTCATGCCCTGGAGGAGGCCTCCTCCCACTTGTTTACACGGAAATGTTGGCCTCACATGTTGGATGTTCCACAGAAAGTTTTTTACTTGATATTCGCCTTAAGAAAATCACACATTTTGATTTTAAATAATATACTTTTTCAAAAGATAATTAAATAAAATAAATAACAGAATAAGTCACTCAATCCGATTATAAATGAGTCAGAACATGTCCATTAGGATTTTCCACTTAAATGTGACTCAGTTCGAAGATGTTTCCTGTTGCACAGGAAAGGGCCGGATAGACTAAAAACTGAGCCTGCGTTTATTTTAAGAGTCGGTCAAAAATACAGTAATTATTGTGACTGTGCACAACTACATTGAGCCAAATGTCTGTATTTTCAATGTTTGGCATTTGGATGAAGTGTTTGAGTTATTGCTGACTTTAAACATGTGAAAACATTCACAAACACAGCTTTGTCCAGAGAACACTGTCAGATCATCCATTGTCCACAGAATACAGTCCCTGTTGCTTCTGTCATGAACACTGAATGCAGACGTTGTATGTCGCCGTTAGATCTGTGTAATTATTGAAATATTCTCTGTGTAATATTGAATGTAAAGTGGAGTACAGTGCCCTCTCTGCCTGAGGCTGTGAATGGGGCTGTTATGAGTCCAGGTTAGCTCTCCGCAGCCGGGGCCCGGACACTGCACGATTCAGCTCGGACACTGCTCCTACTGTTTACCTTGGGCCTGTGTCTCGTCTCCATGGAAACATCCCAAATCTGAGAGAAAAGCCCTGAGCCAAAGCATTGGATTGATGCAGCACAAAACTAATGAACAATTAGATCAAAGTGAGCAAAATATTTGAAAAAAATACTATGGAACAAAAACCCATAGTTGAGGAAGTGATCATTATTGTCTGCTTTTAATCAACATGAGTTTGGCTTGTGAAGCACTTTCGGAATTGTGTTTCATAGATAAATGAGATTGATTAATAATGATTCTATTCTATTTGCTTTGGGTTGACATACAAATATCTAAATTAAAACATTTATTAAAGTAAAGTTTCATCAGCTATTCTCCTATTTGTAACTGAACCACCAAAATATATGTAAATGTTACTAACATAACTTAATTTTCAGGCAGATACTTTTAAAAGAGACACAGATTAATCAAGACTGTTCTAGAAGCATCACGCAAAGTGCTAGTGCAGCAGCAGATTTACACTGCCGCTAATTAACACAGTCACTAATCCAGACCCCTTGTTGAGAGTGAGGCGTCCACCCACTAAGTAAAATGTTACAAATTAGAAACTGTACTATATTTAGAACAACCTTCAATCTTTTGCGATATCAGCCGCAGAGTTTAGCCTAAATAAATAAAACCGTGACCATTGACGATTGTATTAACATGGTGTTTTGTGTTTATAGGGCACATTATACAGTTTAATGTCAATCATTTAGGTGACGATAATAATAAAGATCATAATAATAATTAAAAATAATTATAATATACCGCAGTTTTATATAGAACCTGGACTCTCAAAGATCCTGCGCATGGCCTTATTCATTCACTCCACACACGTTGGTGACAAACTACTTCAGTGGCCACATCTGCCCTGGGGGACACCGACAGAAGCGAGGCAACCAGTATGTGCCCCAACCCTAACCCTGGTGTTCCCAGAGGTCTCCCGTCACAGAACAAACCAGGCTCTGGCCCAGATCCTGCTTAGCCTCCGAAGCCTGACGGGATCTGGCTTTCAGATAAGATTAAGACGAAGAGATCCTTTATTCGTCCCGCAGTTGGGAAACTTCAGGCGGACTTCAGATGTTTTGTTTTAGTAGTAATCCTGTATAATGATGATTTTAATTATTTATCTATTTAATTACAATATAATTATGTATTTGCGTTCTGGAAATATTTTTGTTCTACCTGAATAACATTAATAACAAACAAATATTACTAAACAGCGTAATAAGTGAAATACCAATATAACAATGTGGTTTATTTGTTTTTTGTTTTTAAGTGGATATGGGACACTTTACTACAATGTTTTCTCCACGCAACTACAGCTATTTTATCATATAACTATCAAATCAGATCTCAGAAGCTAAGCGGTACCGGGTCTAGCTAGTACTATGATGGTAGACCACTGTAAAACCAGGTGCGACAATGGCTGTGGTCGTGTCCTTCGGCAAGGCGCTTCACCAACGTGGCCTTCTGTGCGTCTGCTGTGTGTGAGTCATATGTGTGTCATATTTTGTTTAGGAGTGACTTTTCCCACATGACAAAAACAAAAACTATTAATGGAAACAAAAAAATGTCATGTCCTCCAGTTTTAAGTGGAGTTTTATCATTTCCAACTCGCTGTGTATTCTTTGGGACTTCAATGAGGCCTATGACAATAATAGTAGTTATTTTATTATGCTGATGATAATAATAATAATAATGTTTTTTAATTACTTCTATTGTTTTCTACCATTTGTTGCAGCTTTGACCACTCACTGTCTGCTCATATATTATACAGGACATGCAGTAAATACTAATAGTCCTTTTGATGCATAAATACAATAATAATGCATTCTTCAAAAGAGACTACCCCTTGCAAAAACGTGTATTTCCTTAATAATATCAAAGTTGTTATTTGTATAATTGCGCAATGGCCTCTGACTCTCTTTTTGATGTATACTTTCTCTAATCCTTAATAATGTAATTGTGATTATGGTATAAACTTCATTGTATATACTAACTACACTTTCTGTTGTTTTAAAAGGCTCCTTTGTTAAGTGAATTTACCAACTATCATTGAAAATGTTTTTTAGCTTAAACGGTCTGTAGGAGCCAGGTCACATAGAGAGTAGAAATATAGCACCTACACTACATTAAAAATAAAAACATCTTGGACAGGTAAATGCTCGGTGTATTATTCATTCCAGACATGAGCTGCAATTTGAAACACTTTGGAGGAAACTACTAATTATGAGTCAAAGAAAAGCAGCTATGTCTGGCATGTTCGGCACTAATGAAGGTTCAAATGTTCCCGTTTTCCCGTAACCCAAAGTCAAACGGAAATGTATTTTTTGCAGCAGCTGTGGAAACAGGGACGAAACCTCCAACTCCACCTTTAATTGTTTTGTGGTGTTTTCAGTGGAACTCCCTTCATGTGCAGCTACAGCATGCCTGGACTGAGGGATCATATTACACCCATGTGAGGGTGTAGCAACAGATGGTGGATCACAGGGGACAAAGGAAGAGGAGGAGAAAGAGCAGGCGAGGGGCCTAGAATAAAACTGATACAAGATTAAAGTGTGATTGTGTGTGTTTGAATAGTTATGACAGGTGAGTGAACATATAGACCTGAGAAACACATACACAGTAGTATAGTAGTATTTACAAAAGTAAATACCTCATGCATCTGTCTTTTGGCTCTCTCCAGTGCATCCTCATAGCCTTTCTGCCTCAGCTCACTCAGGCTCTCATAGTATTCTTCCGTGTCGTCTCCCTCCGAGAACAGAACCTGTGACAGGATCTTCCAGCCGCAGGTGTCCAGGGCATGACCCAGGTACACTTGTAGCTGGTAGCACAGGGCCTCTCTCTCTCGCAGTGATAAGCCTGTGGACCCAAACACCACTGTCCACACACCACACTGCTCCTCTGGGAATGGAGGTAGACATGGCTCAAGGTCTGAATTGACAGCGCAAAGTTGGAGGTGGGCTGCTCTGAGATCTTGGAAGGAAAACAGCCCGGCCCAGCTGAAGTCCTCATGCCCACTACCCTCATCCTCCTCCTGCTCCCCACCTCCAGGACACAGCACCCCTTGCATTTCTCCATCCTCTAATAGCTCCATGTCCACTGCTTTAGGGGTCACCACAATGTCCCATGAGCTCATGTTGTGATTCATGCTCTCAGTGGTTTTGGAGCGTGCTGTCTTGGGGGGTTTTACGTCCCAAGAGCCTCTGCCTTTGGGGAATGAATGTGGTCTCACACTGGGATCCAGACACACGTCATCAGCTTTGCCTCTGACACCATTCGTACTGTGCTTATCCGGAGGAAGAGGTCCATCCACAGGGCTGCACAAGAGCAAAGGGTCCTGAAAAGTAGTCCTTCTCTGCACGGTCCGGTTATGGCAGGTTATGGCAAACTTTTCCTCAATGTCATTCCAAGCAACGATGAAAACAAATTTATGTCTCTCCTTTTCGTCAAAGACTTTCGGCCGGACAGACACCCATCCCGACTCAAAGTTATCTTCCATGGTGAATGACATTTCATCCAGCCAATAAAAAGGACACGTAGATTAGCGTTAGCCACAAATCCCCTACGGAGGCTACGGATCGCTGCTAGCTAACGAACGACGGACAGCGCAGGCCAAACAAACACAAAACTCCTTTTCAGTGCGTAATAATGACTCTGTCGCTAGCATTAACTAAACATGAAGCCAATATATCCCAGCGCTGTTCGCAACCACAGCACTTACGAAGACGGGCTTGTCTTTCAGCAGACGTAGAGGCGTCAGACAAATAGTCCGCGTCCACCGCCATAAAGACCAGGAATAGGTTCGTTCATGGCGCAGATATTTCGGGTTGTCATTATTCCCGGATACCTGTTCCGCTGGTGCGACTTTGGCGATGTCCGTGTCGCTCTTTGTCCGCGCAAACAAAGCTCTGCTGCGCCAGTCACGTGTACGTCTCTGTTTACAAGCACAGGGACATCACCCACAGGCCCCGCCCCCGAATGTGGCCTTCACTGGCAGTGGGAAATATGGTATGCTAAACTAAAGTGTGGCCTTCCCTGACAGTGGGAAATAAAACATGCTACCTCAAGTCTTGACTTCAGTGACAGTGGGAAATAAGAAATGCCTTCCTTAGTGTGGCCTTCAGTGACAGTAAGTAAGTAATCTTTATTCATAGTATAGCTCATTTTACAGACCAAGGTAAGGCACCTATACGGGTAAATTAAGGAATAAATTCTGAGAACAGAAATACTACCTCAAGTCATGTCTTCTGCGACAGTGATGGGAAACATGGAAGTGTGACCTTAAATGACAGTAGGAAATAAGAATCACACAAGCTTTGGCATGATGAAAAATAAAAATAAAAAGTCAAGGATGTCATTCTGTTGCATAAATAAATCCTGTATGATTACAGAAATTGTCCTGGAGACTTTTCATTCTTTTTTTTAAGCTTAGTTACACATTATGTACATACACGTGTTCCTCTCTGCACTGAAGTAATTTTCTCTCTGCCCTTTCTTTATTTTGTCGCAGATGCCCATGGATCTAGGGCCTAGATCCATGGTCGTCTAGATTCTAGGCAGATGACAGACGAATTAGAATTAGAACAGGGATTATCTAAAGGACGCATAAACCGTAGTGGTGTTTGGATATATTCACGAAAGCAGATGATCTCTTTCCCCAGTGACCAGAAAAGTTATTCTAACCATAATAGATCCATGGTGCCATGATTGGATCTCGAGCGTATATTGCCATCTGCAGGACAAATTAGGTCATTACAACTGCAACACTCTTCGATCCGGCCCACGACTGTATTCCAAAAATTGTGAGGATCAAAAAAATTGTTATAATTGTAATAATAATCAATGATTCTTCTGGCCTCTGGAAAAGCCATGTTCCAGCTTCTTTCCTCTGACAGAAGATATCGTTTGATGAGATGCAGGACATCTCGCTTTGCCAACAGCTTCTATCCACTGTTGTTTAGACTTATCAGTTTAGACAAGGCGCCTTACATTATCTTGGCTTGTATTGAAACTGTTTTAGTTGATCTATTAGTGTCAATTCTTCCCTGTTTATTTATTGGATGTCCATGCTTGCATGCAAAATCCAGATCCCTCAGACCTCTAAAACTGCAGTACTGTGCCTGTTTAGTACTGTGATGGGAGACCTCTGGGAACACCAGGTGCTACAGTGGGGTGGTTGTGGCTTTAAAGTACCAAACTGTTGTCCTTGGGCAAGACACTTGCACATCAAATATACAATGATTGGTGGTGGTAGGGGCCCATGGCACATACTGGTTGCCTCACTTCTATCAGTGTGCACCAGGGCAGCTGTGGCTACAAGTGTTTTTACTGCAAATGGCAGAGGGGGTCTGGGCCTAAGACAAATATTGTTTATTCACCCCTGACCGAGACTTTTAGACCAATTAAGGGTATTCTAAACGTAATCACTGTGGCAGAAAATTTTACCTAAGGGTAGCATCGGAAGTGATTGAAGATCCACAACTTTGATTTTGTCAGAAAAAAAACTGCAATATTCATTTGAGAAAATGTGTTTCCTAAATTTAAAAACAAAAACACTTTGTTTATTTCAGTCATTTATTTGGGATACATGTTCTTTTGCATGTAACTGGAGTGCAGTGATATTTGGTTAGGGTTAGCTAACTTCTTGTAAAACACTTTAATGCCAGCCATATCACTTGGTTCAAAAGATTATCTTTAAATGGACAGAATTCAGAGTTTTTTTCCTCATTAACAAAAAAAAAAAAAAAGGCATAAAATGGTCCTTAAGTTCAGCTTACTTCTGACATGTAAACAAGTGACATAAGTGTCACTTTAGTGCTTGGCTTTGTCAAAGAGGGCCTTCAGTTGTTCTTTGGATGTGGCTTCCTTTTGTTGCATAAGATCAGCATGACCTTTAGTAATTCCCCAGCCATCAGGCAAAGACAAGGCTGGACAAAAGGGACGACCAGACGCAGGCTTCAACGGCTCCCAATAGTCGCGGCGAGCCCTGGAAAAAACACAACATTAAGAACTCATCAATAACTTTACCTTGCTATTAAGCACATGTAATACCCACCTAGCTCTGACCCAAGGCTTTGTGTGCATCTCCAGGCCACTTCCCCATGTGCCATGTTTTTCTGAACCAGCTGGAAGAACGCCTCTCTCAGTTGCCAACTCCTCGCACAGGGCTCGGACGTGATAAGGTTCAAAACCACAACAGCCTCCGATGAAGCGAATGCCCACATTGTAGGCTTCTCTGGCATATTTCTGCATATCCCATCTGGTCAAGATTCTTGGTTCAAGGGCTGAAAGGTCAATTTGTCACTATAGTGTGATATTACGAAGATAAAACGTCAATGAAATGCATACCGAAAGGGAACTCTGGCAGATCAATGAAGCCTTGTCTGTTACAGTCTGGAGTATGGTAAGCCAAAGGCTGGCACATGTAGTGGGCTTTAAGGCCGGCTTTTTCCACTCCCTCCTTCATCATTTTGACGGTCTTTACACAAGTCTCAGGGTCAAAGTGACAGTTAATGCCAACAATGTCAGCTCCTGCAAGAATATCAACAATTATCCGAAAAATAAAAAGGATTGGACACAGTGCACCAAGTGATGCCACTCTAACAATTTCCATACTAGAATGTCTGGATTAATCTCTTCATGTACGAGAACCAGGTTACCAACAAATAAGCATACTTCGTCCATTAAGTTTTGGGAATTGGTGAAGCATTAAGATCACTGAGAACAATTAGAAGCATCCTCATGGCTCATATTAAATACAATTTTGTGAAGAAAAAAAACGTTATGGTTACAATAGGTAAAGATGTCCGCCAGAAAATATTCATAGTGCTGCAACGATTGTTTCTACTCTGCCACTGGATGGTGCTAGAATTATCACTTGAGGCCTTTTGTGGGGGGTGGGAGTCACTCCCTTTACACAGAATAAAACCATTCGAGAAGTGTTCATACCAGCCTTGACGAGTTTAACAGCACACTCTCCTGGGCTGATATTGTTCAGGTCTCCATCTGGTCCAATGCACAGAGAAGCAGCGACCGGTTTCCCAGTGGCCTTCAGAACCTGCACAGCCCATTCTGCCTCCTCTACATGCTCGAAGTACTATGTGCAGAGAGACATTGAACCTAAATTAAAGCTGGGAACTACGCACACATTACACAAAACCATCCAACCATCTTACTTCTGCAATCAAGAAGTCCACATTTTTTTGGACAAACACATCCAGCTGCTTCTTAAACACCGCCTTGACCTCATCTTGACTCTTGCAGCTGAGATATGCAGGAGTCTGGGAGACGCCTCCTGCCACCAGAGCATCTCCTTCATTGGCCACCTCCCTGGCCAGGTCACAAGCGAATTCATTGATTTGCTGTCCCTGTAGTTGCATGGAGGACACACAGTAAGGAGTTTGGAAGTGGTTTCAGATGCCACCACCCCGTTTGACAATTTGGGACATGACAGCTGCAGCAGTGAGTAGTCTAGGCCTTTCCTACTCACAGTGAAGCGTTGAGTGTGGCCCCTGTTCTCCAGTTTATCATCACTGGCGTAGAAAGTGAAGGTTTGCATAACATTAGAACCAGCCCGGAGGAACTCCCTGTGCAGCTGCCTCACTGGAATCAAACCAGACAAAAGATTTATATTATATGCATGCACCTATATTGAACATTTGCATGAGTCTGTATACAAATTCCGTATATAAAAAGTGCTTACCAGCTTCAGGGTTTTCGGCAGCTGCTTCAGGAGTCCACGGCCCTGCCTTCACATAACCCCGCTTCTCAAGAGCGAAGACAAAACCCCCATCACCGATTACAACTTCTCCAGCATCCAGGCGCTCCAGAATACCCTAAAGTGCGCACAAGTTGGTGAGTGCAACTCTATAACAAGACCACGTGCTTATAAATATTTTTTTAGTTCATGCATTTCATCCAATAACATGCTTCTTATGAGTTAGAGGCGCGTCAAACTTGCAAATGTTAAGAATAAAAGTGCGCGTTGCTGCTCACCTTCTTTCCAGCGGGAGCCATTGTCTTGCACTGGGGCCGGGGTTTGAGTCAGACAGGAGCTTCGGGAAGGACCTCCGCGGACATCCATGCAGTATTTATACACTGTGGAGGGGTGTGGTTATTGTGATGTCACTTTGATTTGGGTCCCCCCCCCAAGAAGTTGTCCAAACCCCAAAGTACTTTCAAGAGCCTATTTCTAAGTTCACAAAATATTGCATGCATAATAGAAGAAGGAGCTGAAAAGTGGCACAATTGCTTTTGATTCTATCTCTAATCTTTTTATCTGATTCTTTGAGACGATTGAAGTCCCAGTGTTGGATCTAACATGCAGTGCCTCTCAAAACTTTAGAACATTTTGTCATGTTTACAACCATAAACGTGAAGATTTTATTTCGATCTTATTAATTCCTTATTTACTGAAAGTTCACACACATGTAACAGACAACTGCAGTGAAAGCAAAATGTTACATGATTCTGTTATTTTTCCCAAAAAAATATAACACTGAAAAGTTGGGCCTGCACAAGTATTCATATACAGCTAGTAACGGCAGCAATTCTTTTTGGGTGTGACTACAAGATTTTCACATCTAGAGACAGAAATTGTATCCCATTCCTCAACTCGAGCTTTGTCAAATTAGATGGAGAGTTTTTGTAGTTTTCAGGTCTTTCCACAGATTTTCTATTGGACTTAGGTCCGGACTCTGACTGGGTCATTCTAAAACATCAATATGTTTTGTTGAAACTATTCCATTGTAGATGGATCTTTGTGTTTAGGTTAGTCCTGCTGGAATATGACCCAGCCTCAATTCTTATGCTGACTCTAGGAGGTTTTCCTTCAAAATGTCCCTGCATGTGGCTCCATCCATCTTCCCAGCTATTCTTACAATCCCAGTGACCACTGAAGAAAAGCCAGGGACATGATGTAAACATGACAAAATATGCAAAAGTTTGGACATTTTGAAATATTGAAATTTCCCCTCTGTGAGACGAATAAAGGATCTCTTATCTTATCTTAAAAGTTCAAGTTGTATACTTTTGGGAGGAACATATGCAATCGGTACAAAGCATGTAAGCAAAAGTTATTTCCTAATGATTGTGCTCAAAATCGAATTAGTAAAATTGGACCACATCTCAGTCTTTGAAACGCCTGGAATAACAGTCGTTCAACACAAACAAAAATATGGATCAGAAATACGGGGAAAATTCCAATGCAGTGTCTTGATTTAAGTTATTAATCTACAATCACAGTAATCATGTGCTCAGTTACCCAGTGCATACATGGGAAGCTGCTGAATTATGCATGCAGTTAAAATCTTCCTGAAAATATGAGACACAAATGTTCAACTCCAGGACCAGTGCCGACATACCATGGGTCCTGGTGTCTTGGGGACAATTGAAGAAGGATAATGTTTGTTTTGTCAGCAAAAAAACCAGACTTAACCTCCTGAGACCCGAGCATTTGTCTGGTGTGCATTTTATATATTTTTTTGCTATTTAGGATAAGTAGGACCCAATAAGTATAATACCTAAATTGTGATTTTGTACAGGAAGTAGTTTTTGAGAAAAAACATGTCCTCGTATGAGGACAGTGGGTCTCTCATAACCTAAAGAGAAAATGTATGATCTTTTAGGCCGGAAGGTCCTAATTAGTTGAAATTCAAAATTTCAGCTTGATCCAATTAGTACTTCTCTCAAAAATCAATGTCCTCACATGAGGACAGTGGGTCGACCTTACTATACAATACAAATAGACTCCATTGGTCTAAAATAGTATATAACAGTTTATTTGAAAAATGTAAACATCAAAGTTAGACATAAAATCCAAACAGCTCTATCTTCAAAGCCTAAAAATGTCATGGTGTGGACATTTTGACCTGGTTGAGTTTGAATCCTGCCTGTCCTGTTGATTGTTGCCCCGCCCTAATGTGATTCACCTGTGTGTCCCTGTGTGTCCCTGTGTGTGTGTATATACCCTGTGCCCTTCCTCACTTGTTGTCCGTCCATTGTCTCCACAATGTTTGTCCTGTCTTCAGTTCTGTTTTTACATTACCTTGGATTTATTTTATTAAATTACTTTGATTTTCAGTCCTGCAATTTGGGTTCCCTTTTTCTTCATTCATCCACATGACAAAAAATTGGCTATACATAAATAAAACCGCAAAATACTGTGTAAACTGTCTATTTCAAGCCTTCAATATGGCTGAATTGAATTGATAAATACAATACTAGAACAAATAATGGCAAATATTATTAACAGTCCTAAAACAGTAAAATTCTGCTGAACAGCTTATGAACCGGGGCTTTTTTCAAACTAGCTCCCTCTCTTTTTCTAGAAAGCAATCTGTCTGCCTGTTTGGAAGAGCCCTATTGGCAAGTGTGAAATGCTGCAAAGCAGTTGCATTCACTTTGCAAGCACAGGTACACATTGCATGTCATGCATCGGACACAGGATTTTCCAATGCAGTCTTGTGCTCTGCAACGCATGGGGTTTTTCAAGGCTACCATCTCCGGGTTAGAGTTAGGATTACAATATCCCCAGTCGAGGTCAGCAGCTCTCCACCCGCACCATACACGGTGTTGGCAAAGCACTGCTTCCCCCTCCTGAGGCGCCGGAGGGTTTGCCATAACCTTTTTGAGGGCGACCGATAGTCATGCTCCATGGACTCTCCGAACTCCTCCCAGTGTCGGGTTTTTGCCTCTGCAACAGCCCGGGCCGCGGCACGCTTGGCCTGCCGGTACTGGACAGCTGCCTCCGGAGTCCCACAAACCATCATTGCTCGATAGGACTCCTTCTTCAGCCTGACGGCATCCCTTACTGCCGGTGTCCACCACCGGGTTCGGGGATTGCCGCCGGGACCAGCACCAGAGACCTTGCGACCACAGCTACGAGCCGCTTTATTGGTGATAGAGGAAGAGAACATGGTCCACTCGGACTCAATGTCCCCCTCCTCTGGGTCCTGGGAGAAGCTCTCCCGGAAGTGTGAGTTGAAAGTCCGTCTGACAGGGGGCTCAGCGAGACGTTCCCAGCAGACCCTCACTATACGCTTGGGTCTGCCAGGTCTGACCGGCTTCTTCCCCTGCCAGCGGATCCAACTCACGACCAGGTGATGATCGGTTGACAGCTCCTCCCCTCTCTTTACCCAAGTGTCCGAGACACGCGGTCGAAGGTCAGATGATACGACAACAAAGTCGATCATCAACCTCCGGCCTAGGGTGTCCTGGTGCCACGTGCACTGGTGGACACCCTTGTGCTCGAACATGGTGTTCGTGATGGACAGACCGTGACTGGCACAGAAGTCCAACAACTGAACACCGCTCGGGTTCAGATCAGGGGGGCCGTTCTTCCCGATCACCCCTCTCCAAGTGTCACTGGCATTTCCCACATGGGCGTTGAAGTCCCCCAGGAGAATAACGGAGTCCCCGGGAGGTGCACCGTCCAGTACCCCTCCCAAGGACTCCAAGAAGGCAGGAACTCGGCACTGCCGTTAGGCCCGTAGGCCGTCACAACAATGGGAGACTTGTCCCACCCGGAGGCGGAGGGACGCGACCCTCTCATTCACCGGGGAGAACTCCAACACATGGCGGCTGAGATGGGGGGCAATGAGTATGGCCACCCCAGCTCGCCGCCTCTCCCCGTGGGAAACACCAGAAGATGACTGACAGGTATGAGATGATGATACAATCATCCCCATCTGAGAAGTCCTCTATCTCAGAGTTGTCTGCAATTGCCAACAGCAATTGTTCTGCTCTTGACAATGAAAGTGTGCCTGTAATGATAATGTTAAAAACCAACATCAAAATCTACAGTATATCAGTGACACTTCATAGCTTGGCTATCATGTGCTAGCTATAGCCTAGCTATATTGTTTATGATTTAGAATTTAGCAACACTAAACAATACTTAGCATATACCACTTAGTACTTAAATATACTATTTACAACTGTAAACCACATAACTAAGCAAATGTGTGATTCAAAATAACTATTTACAACTGTAACTTCATCTAAATCTTCCACACGGTTAGCTAAACAGATAGCGGTACATAGTCCTAGCGTCCTCAAACGAGTGCTTCACTTTTACTGACATCCTAGCCTGCTACTACAATCAAAATTTGTCAAATTTCAAACTCCATATGAAGCTAGAGACATTATTGTGCATAAAAAAATTGATTTCATTCATAAAATGTTGATAGAATTTTTACCTGGGGCATTTTTCTTCTGTAAACTCTTGTAGAAGTCTTTTGCTGATATTGCCACCATTTTTTTCCTACTGCCTTAAGTGTAATTCTATCATATCACCACAAGATGGCGCGGGCAGTGTCCCTAAATGTGGCCATCAGGTCAAGGATGTAAAAAATTTAGTATCATTGTGCCAAGAGGCAAAAATGTAATGTCCTCGTATGAGGTCGCAGGGTCTCAGGAGGTTAATACTTAACATTAGTAACACTAACACTACAAAACTCCCAGAGCCGTCATTTTGACTGCTCCCATTCAAACCAATGGATTTCTGAGAAATCTCCCCCCAAAATTGTTTTGTTTTCCACCAGTTTTATTAAACGAGACAGTTATGAAGACCAAACATGTACCTCAGCAGAGACATTACACATCACACAAAACTGAAAGCCGTCAAATTGACTGCTCTTGGATTTCTAGTTTCAATCCTGTTCTCAATTAGAAAACAGCTAGTTAGTCACATGATCACTTTATTGAGCAGGTTTGGATTCTGCATTGTGGTTAAAGTACTGTAATGCACTTTGAGTTCCCTTGTGTATGAACTGTGCGATACAAATAAACTCGCCTCGCCTTATGTTTGTGTGACCCACATGTGCAGCTTGTATCAGCTTAGGTCCTGTTCAAACTGACTAGGGCGTCCAGTCCACTGTGGGCGTGCCAAAACCCCGCACAAGTGGGATCTTTGTAAAGCATGACCGCGGCAGACTGTAGTAAAAGAAATCTTCGTTATGCTTTGACTTTTGGAGCGCACTTGCAGTAGTCGCAATGTCCAACTTGTTGAATTTGCTGAGATTCGGCGCACGGAGAGACCTGAGTGCGTGTCGCGCAGTTTCTCATCTGACTCTGAGGACTATAACCTGCTCGTCAAGACGTCACACTGCGCAGAGGTGAGAGATTACTGTCACATATGCTCGCCAATGGATGCGTTTTTTATTTTGCTTGATTATAAACATATATGCACGCTTCTTTTTCCCTCAGTGAGCCCACGTCAGTTTTGGGGAAAAGATGGAAAGACACGGCAGACACAGTGATCATTGGTGGGGGCTGCGTGGGGGTCAGTCTGGCCTATCACTTGGCCAAAAGCGGCGTGAAGGATGTCGTGTTGTTGGAGAAAACTGAGCTGACAGCTGGTTCCACCTGGCATGCTGTATGTCGAAACTATTGCTATTCTTTCTCCTGAACCACATAATAACAAACTGGTATTTTAGTTACACAACACATTTTCCTCTTATCCATAACAACTGATCAGGCTTTTTGTAGTTTTTTTGATTCATAGTATATTTTATTCAGTGCCACATCACCTGTTTACTTACTCTCTTACACTCACAACACTTTCAAGGCACCCGTCATGACCCACTTAATGGGTTACTCCTTACAACTTCCATGAACTACCCTGCAATCCTATAAATACACATGTTGCATATTAGAAATGAGAGGTCAGATATCTCAGGATCACTTTACACCTCTTCGAAAAAGTCAAGTGAAGCAGTGAGATTTGTATTTTCAATCGCACTTGTATATGTAATGCACAGTCCATATTTAAACACGTTTTTCCATTTTACGTTGCAGGCAGGTTTGACCACGTACTACCACCCAGGCATCAACCTCAAAAAGGTTCACTATGACAGCATTAAGCTGTATGAAAAGTTAGAGGAGGAAACTGGCCAGGTGATGATTTTCACAATAGAAAACCACCCCCTTTTTGTTTTTGTTGTTGTTGAATATTTCAGTTCTACTACAATTTATATTTCCACAGGCTGTAGGCTTTCACAACCCAGGTAGCATCCGTATTGCTTCCACGGCTGCACGTGTTGATGAGATGAAATATCAGATGACCCGGACACACTGGCATGTCACAGAACAGTACTTAATTGGTCCTGAGAAAGTCCATGAGCTCTTTCCACTGTTGAAGATAGACCAGGTCTGTAAACAGTTAAGCCACATATACAGCACATGAACAGTCATCACACCATGGTTGATAAAGGTTTGGTCTATCTAAGGTGTTGGCAGGTCTGTATACCCCCGGGGATGGCCATATAGACCCCTATTCCCTCACTATGGCCCTGGCGGCTGGCGCTCGCATGTATGGGGCTATGATTTACAATCCGGCGCCTGTGACTGGGCTGAAGTCTACTCCCGACGGCAAATGGGACGTCGACACTCCTCACGGGACCATTCGTGCGAACCGTATTGTTAACACTGCAGGTAACAGAAGAACAAACTCAAGTCTTTTTAGAGATTGTTTCAACATCTGTAGTAAACGCAACATCTGAATTTATCTCTAGTATCAGGGGACCTTTAATGAAACACACATTTTTGGCATGAACCAACTCAGCCCATTGGATTCCGCATGTATAAGAATTTCACTGTCATAAGGATTTGTAATGTTGGTAGTACCACCTATATAAACTTCTGTGCATTTTTAGGATTTTAGATTCTTGGTTTTGTAATTGATCTAAATCCAGATGCAACCAGTCCAGTGTGAATCCTGCTGGTCTTTTGCTCTCACTGGATCGAGCAGCCAATCCTCGGAGGCCAACAGTGTAGTTCTTATCCAATCTGAGTGCAGTGGTTCAGCACACCTCCCAACCCATTTCTCCCCTTTTGTTGTTGTTGCCTTTCCTAGTTTCATAAATCTGGACCTAAAATGGCTGTCCAAAGGTTGGCTGACCGATGTTTTAAGGATGTTTGTCCTCTTCTGTGTGGCTGGTCCTGCAGATGTGTGCATTACGCTTCTCACAGGCTTCTGTGGGACATGTTTTGGTTGTAAGTTTGGAGTTTAGTTTAGTTAGCTGAACCTCCAACTTATGGACATTGCATTTTGTTATTATTATGTTTTAGATTTATTTTTTGCAGTGCAGGTGGTGAGTCCACAGGGGGTTCAGGCAAAGTGGGGTTTAGTGTCTTGCCCAAGGACACAACAACAGCAGTCATCAGTGGGAGTCGTGAAGTAGGTCTTACGGTGGGCTCGAACCCATGACCTTCAGGCTCAAAGGCCAATGCTATTTATATTGAACTATCCCTGTTGCTATGTCAGAAAGTCAAATGCTTCCACTACATTATTACTGCCACTAAAATTCTGAATGTAAACACACACCTGGAAAGCAGGGCTTTGGGAATTATCTCTAGTTTGGTAATATCACAATTTCTGAATAAAATGATTACAAGCACCGCACCCCTGAGCTGTGGGTTTGTGTTTGGCCCACAGCGATTTGCAAATATATCATTTTCACAAAAATTTAAAATAATAATAAGCAACATATATGTTATTGGTTATTTTTGATTTCTTAAACTCTTCTGTCTGAAAATGAGGCTCTTCTCTGCAGCGTTGCATGATCAAAACATTAACATAGATAGAGGAAATCAAAATGTTGGTCTGACACAATATTTTTATTGCCAATGTAACGGGAAGTCACAAACTAGTAATTTGTTTTGGTAATAAATCGTGGACAGTTACAGGTATCTGGGAACAACAATAGACAATAAACTGAAGTTTGACATAAACACTGAGTCGATCATTAAACGATCGCAGCAGAGAATGTACCTGTTGAGGAAATTGAACTCTTTTAATGTAAACAGGACAATCCTTAATAATTTTTATTGCTCTTTTATTGAAAGCCTTCTTAGCTTTTCTTTTATCTGTTGGTTCCAAAGCCTGACGCTGAAGGACAGAAACAGGTTACAGAGTATTGTGAGAACTTGCTCCAAAATCACGGGTGGTAAACTCAGAGACCTTCAATCTCTGTGGGAGGAACAGGTGCTGAGTAAAGCAAAATGTATCCTGGCTCAGCCCAAACATCCGCTGATTGCCGACTTTGTATTGATGCCTTCAGGGCGTCGTTTTTATGCTCCAGCACGGAAAACAAACCGTTTCTCCAATTCTTTTGTGCCATCTGCCATAAAACTGTTGAACTCTGGTAGAAGTGCTTGACTTTTGGGAATTGTGTCGTTCATTGTTTGTTTGTTTTTTTTTTTTTTTTTTTTTTTTTTAACTTATATTGTGTAACCTGCTGCTGTGTGAACTGTGAGACTCACTGTGTGTTTGTGTAGAGTTTGTTGTGTTCTGCTTTGAGTTAAGCTGCAAATGAATTGCCCTTTGGGATCAATAAAGTTTTCTGAATCTGAATCTGAATCTAATTGTACAGACAAATAATATAAAAGCATGCATAAAACATCCTAATTCAATTCTTATGTATACATACATTGACATTTAACAGTGCAGATTATCAATAAGGGCCCAGAGATTTGAGATCATAATAACACAATACTGTGTCTTTATGTGTTTTAAATAGGATTTTGGGCCCGAGAGCTCGGTCAGATGATCGGGTTTGATCATCCCACCATCCCAGTGCATCACCAGTACGTGGTAACAGCAACAGTGCCCGAGGTGAAGGCGCTGAAAAAGGAACTTCCCGTCATCAGGGACTTGGAAGCCTCCTACTACCTGCGTCAGGAGCGAGACGGCCTTTTGTTCGGTCCGTATGAGAAGATGGAGAAAATGGTGCTCCAGGACTCATGGGTGAGAGAAGGAGTCCCACCAGGTCGGTTTTTGCTACATCCAGTTTTGGAATATTTTTAAAGCGATTTCTAAGTGATCCTGGTCTTGTGGTTCTTGTTGATAGGATTTGGTAAAGAGCTGTTTGAGTCAGACCTCGACCGTATAATGGAACATGTGGAGATGGCTATGGAGATGGTACCAGTTCTGAAGACGGCAGACATTATAAACATTGTCTCTGGGCCAATCACATACACTCCCGACCTCCTGCCTATGGTCGGACCACACCAGGGTGTTCCTAACTACTGGACAGCCATTGGATTTGGGTACACCTGAAAGAAAGATATCAATGTCCAGGCGTCGTTTTCAGTACGTCACACAAGATTGTGTTGGTGCAGGTATGGAGTCATTCATGCAGGCGGCATCGGGAAGTTCCTGAGTGACTGGATCAGAACCGGGGAACCTCCTTATGATCTGATTGAGTGTGACCCTAATCGTTACGGCAAGTGGGTTGACATCCCATTCCTCTGTGCCAAGGCCCGAGAATCATATGGCTTCAACAACGTGGGTAAGATGGTTACATTGTTTGCGAACCTGGTGAATAATATTGTCGTTTATGAAAGTTGTGTTGCTGATTTGATTTCCGTCATGTGTCTAGTGGGTTACCCCAAAGAGGAACGCTTCGAAGGCCGGCCGACGAAGCGAACAAGTGGCGTTTACGACCTCCTCAAAGACAGATGCTCCATGGGCTTTCATGCCGGGTGGGAGCAGCCTCATTGGTTCTACAAACCTGGAGATGACATTGGATACAAGTAAGAAGAAACTATGGCTGAGAATGCACTAACTGTTACATTATATAACTCTGGACTTTGTGTACAAGGCTATGTCCTTGTGAGACTCCCAAATGTTTTCATTGGAGTGCAATTCGGAGATGGAGGGGGTAGACAAGTGATGTGCTGAAGGCACATGCAGACAACTGTTAGGAAACACATGCTGCTTCAACAGTTGTTCACTGTCTTTCGACTGTGACACTGGAGAACTCTTTCGATACGACTTACTGAAATTTACAATCCCGTGGGACAAATAAAGGATCTGATTCAAAAAGGTTCATTTTGTCTTAAGTTAAAATGCTTTTTGTGGCTCTTTTGAAAGACAAGTTAGATGTATTATAAGTAGTGCACGAACCTCTGTAAGTACTTGCAGGTAATAAGGTAATACATCTGACTTGTCTTTCAAAAGAACCACAAAAAGCAGAATAAAAAAATCTCTTTATCTTAATAGATAAATCTTGATACTCAAATGGATCTTGATATATGATTTCATACAAGCAAATTTTTTCTCGGTTTGAATGTTATGATGTTTGTGTTCAGGCCCAGTTTCCGACGTACAAACTGGTTTGGACCAGTTGGAAGAGAGTGTAAACTGGTGATGGAAAAGGTGGGAGTCGTAGACCTGACGCCTTTTGGGAAATTTAATGTGAAGGGAAAGGACTCCCACAAGCTCCTGGACCGCCTTTTTGCCAACACAATGCCCAAGGTAGATTACAACACTACATGTATGTGCGAAGGAAAAGTGTGTGAATACATGCATAATTAATATTTATGTGCTGGACAGTCAGAGCTACAGTCTATAAAAACAAACGCACCCCCAAGATGTGGTTTGTTTGTGTTTTCAGGTCGGTCTAACTAATATCAGCCACATGTTGACTCCCTCTGGGAAAGTCTTTGCAGAGGTCACCATCACGCAGGTAGCACCAGGAGAGTTCATGCTTATCACAGGCTCTGGGTCAGAGCTGCACGACCTCAGGTAAATTCAACCAGCTGTATCCATATTTATGATAGCTTCTTCTAGAATCTTCTAAAAATGCTCTTACAAAGCAGAACAAGTATTCCATTGTGCACACACTAGATATGAGCTGCTATAAAGTCTTGTAAGTACACACCCCACGTTTGGTCCAATTGCAAAGCAGTATATTATAACATTCCACTGAGAACCTCACTCAACACAACAGTGCTAAAATAGATGGACGGACTTTTGACTGTAGCATACTCTAGCGGCAGGAAAAGAAACTGCAGAGTTCATTGAGGTCATTTTTATGAAACGTGGCAGATTTGATCTTAACCAGGACTTTCAAATTAATTGTCTTACATGTTCAAATCCTCACAGGTGGATTGAAGACGAGGTTGCAAGAGGCGGATATGATGTCGAAATAAAAAATGTCACAGAAGATTTAGGAGTCTTGGGAATTGCAGGACCTTATTCACGCACTGTTCTTCAAAAACTGACCAATGAGGACATGAGTGATGCTGGTTATAAGTTTCTGCATTGCAAGAAAATTGAGTTGGCAGGTGTTTCTGTCCAAGCCATTAGGATTTCCTACTCAGGTGATGCTCAAGTGGACAGCAGCTTCTTATAATGTAGCAGAATAATCAATGAAATGTGGGTGTTTTAGGTGAACTTGGTTGGGAGATGTATGTGCCCCAGAATAACATGGCAACTTTGTACCAAGCTATTATGGACGCTGGAAAAGAATATGGCATTGATAATTTTGGCACTTATGCTATGAATTCCCTGAGACTGGAGAAGGGCTTCAGGGGCTGGGGAGCCGAGGTAAACCCCCTTCACCATCATCAACGTTGTGTCAAGCATTTAAAACATGGTGTTTGTACAGATGAACTGTGACACCAACCCATTGGAGGCTGGACTGGATTACTTCATCAAACTCAATAAGGTAGAACAACAATATGTATAAAAGTCTAGTGTTATGAATGAATGAATATGCTTTGAAAATTGTATTAATAATGACTGTCGGGGAGATTACAGAACCATTTACTTATGCTTACTCAGAGTACTGTATTCTGAAGACTTGCATCATTCTATAGTGTAAAAATACATCACTGAATACAGAAAACATTTGAATACTAAATAAAAAATTGTTTGTTTGTTACATCCAGCCATAATGTCATGATCAAATATCCCAATATGTAAATTAATTCCCAATATACATTTGAAAATATGAGTTTTGTCCACATATAGGCTGCACTTAAATATAAGCCGCATATTTTCATGTTGTAATGTAAAACTTACTCAACAGCTGATAGAGCAAAACAAAACAATAGACAACTTTTTTAACTGCACACAACATGATTCAATAATTTAACGCACTGTTTTTGCACCCTATAGCTACTAAAACTTGATGAGTCAAAATATAATAAGTCCATTAACTCCCTAATCACATAAAGTCCTTTGTATCTTATGCATTTCGGTCATGTCGGTTTTCTGCTGTTCACATAAACATAAACGACAGCCGATGTCCAAATTGTTAGAACTTGAGGATAAATGTATTCAGTAACATCACAGACTAACCTCATGTTGTTTTCAGCCCGCTGACTTTATTGGCAAAGAGGCTCTCAAGGAGATAAAGGCCAAAGGTCTGAAAAGAAAGCTGTCATACCTCAGTGTGGACACTGACGACATCGACCCCGAGGGGAATGAGACCCTTTGGTTAAATGACAAGGTCAGCAACATTACACGGATGAACCGTACATTATTATGAAGAACATAAATCATTACAGTTGTGTTTTCAGGTGGTTGGAAACACGACGTCTGGAGCCTACAGTTACAGCGCGCAGCACAGTCTGGCCTTCGCGTATCTGCCCCTGGAGCTGACGTCTGTGGGGCAGAAGGTGGAGGTGGAGCTCCAGGGAAGACGGTACCCCGCAATGGTCATCCAGGAACCTCTCATCCTGACGGAGCCCACACGGACCAGGCTGCAGAAAAAGGCCAAGACCAAAGCTGCTTAAAGTTCACAAAGACAGTTGAAGCCGACTCGGATATTTTTTTGTGGTCCATATTTTGATGGGAATGTCTTAAACATAAATTGTGATGTCTTAATAGGATTTTCTGGAGAAACTACATCTGAAGTGTTAATTCCAAACAGTTTACATGTTGCCTTTTATTATTAAATGGTATTACAAGAAGTTGCATAGTTATGCAAACTTATTTTTTTATGATTGTTATTGTAATTGATGCTTTGAATTCATATCGAATAAAAAAACAACACAAACCCTTACCCTGTAAACGAACGGACATAGCAAAGTCTAACTTAACATTTTGAAAATGTTTTACATTTCTTTGTAGACTCAGAGCTCAGATAAGCAGCAATTATGTACCAACGTTTATTGTATCGAGCTGACGATCGAATGAATAAATGATGAAAATGTGTGAAAAAGCAATAACATCCTTTTACACATACACATGTTTCATCGCTTTCTACTGAAAATATAACATTGTAACATTGGGAGGAGACCTATACGGAAGACCCAGGACACGTTGGAGGGACTCCTTCTCCAAACTGGCCTGGGAACCCCTCAGGATTACCTCTGATGAGCTGGAGGAAGTCTGTGGGTGTCTCCTGCGTCCTGGCAACTGATTAAGAGGAAGAAATGGATGAATGGATTGTAACAGTTTTATTATTTCCATCTGATAACAATTGTTTATATAGTGAAAGGTCATGTATGCACCATGATGGAGACAGGACGTTCAAGATTACAATATTCAGGTCAGATAAATACAGGACAAATTTCTATAACAGTTTTGCTTTTTAATTTAACCTTGACTTAAAGGAACAAATGTATATATTAATTTTCATTAATTAAAACATGATGAAAACAGTTGCTCTTAAATACAAATCACACTCAATTATGCATAAAGAAAAACTAAAATATAACAAAACCAGGGCCTACAATTGAATATGATCTGTTATCTGTAGACGTAAAGGGCATGTATCAATAAATGCAGAATCTCTTGACCAGGGGTGTCAAACCGTGTCGCATTCTTTTAAAATAAGAACTGGTTAGAGTCTAATATGATAGATTTCCTTTTCTTATAATTGTGACATGAGTGATTTTTCTGAAAACAAAAGGTAAAACAAAAGATTTAACCAAAACTGGACCAAATATAAAGTTAAACACATTTATTTTATATTTAACTTTTCTTCTTCAATTGATTTCAAATTTAGAAAAATATAAGAATACATTAAAATTGGTTGTTTTCCTGCAAAAATAGATTATGCCTTGGTAACCCACTACCATCAATGCTAATATATATTATTATAAAAATTAAACATAATTTTAATAACTAAACATTGTCTTGGATTTGGCCCACGAGCCTGAGTTTGACATGTCTGCTCTAGTCCAGACTGTAAATACATGAATCTATAAGTGTAAATATTACCCTTCAGATTCACGTGAGTACTTTGTAACAACACAATCACGTGCAGCGCTGCTTCCTCTTCAGTCACGTGATCTGTAGCATACTGAGAGCTGATTGGCTGGTTCGGTCGCGGTGTTTTCCTCGCACAAAGCGGAAGTTCCGAAGTATTTTAATAGAACTGGCGAAGGCAGCGGTGTGAGCTTCCAAACACATCTGCTTTTTGCTCTAGACCTTATTTATGTTACTCCGTGCACCTGGGTCATGATGTCGCTTTACGCTCTCTTTTACTTCTTCATCTTCATCTCATTCTCTACCTCTGCAGCAGCTCCACAACCTCACGTCGTGTTCATTATGGCAGATGACTATGGCTGGTATGACGTTGGATACCACGGATCTGAGATTAAAACCCCACATTTAGACAGTCTGTCGGCGAGCGGGGTCCGTCTGGAAAACTATTATGTCCAGCCTATTTGCACGCCCTCCAGGAACCAGCTCATGACCGGGAGATACCAGGTGAGCTGCAGACCTGGGACTAGAAGGGCATACTAGAAGGCCATAGATGAGGGAACAGTGGGGACATTTCAGTGTTGCAATGAACATAGGTGTGTAGGAATGAAAAGCAGCACTCAAATAAGATACGAGAATTTTAATATTTATAGAATAATATTAAAATTCTCAGGTCTCTGTTCTCAGGTCTCTGTGGCTCAGAGAACAGACTTTAAAGCAGCTGTGTTTGTTACAAGTCTCTCCATGACCTCACACCAAAGTATACCTGTGACATGTTAGTGCCATATGAACCAACTCTGACTCTGAGGAGCACACGGACTGGCCTCCTGCTAGTGCCCAGTGCACCTAAATCCAGAACATTCTTCCTGAAAATGTGAGACAGGCTTCTTCTCTGATAATGTTCAAATCCAGATTAAAAACAGTTTGGGTTAGCTGTGCATACAATTGAAGGATTGTATCTTTGTCATTTTTTAATTTACTGTGTTTATTTATGATTTTAATGTCTTGTGTGATTTTAATTTTGTGTTTCTTATTTTGTTATGCACTTGTCTTGGGTATGACCTGTGCTATACTTATAAGCATATAGGCATGCTTAAAATATTAGTCATCTTAAAACTATAACCACACCTATAGGAAAAAGTACACAAACTTGTACACAAACTTGTACACAAACTTGTACACAAACTTGTACACAAACTTGTACACAAACTTGTACACAAACTTGTACACAAACTTGTACACAAACTTGTACACAAACTTGTACACAAACTTGTACACAAACTTGTACACAAACTTGCACACAAACGTGCACACTCTGTAAATTAGCAGTAGGGGTGTCAGGCTATTGTTTAAATCCTATAACTATCTTTGCATTAGGTAGTGTAAGGACATGGAAAGACTATATGTTGCGTTTGTGTGAGTTTGTTTGAACTCTGTGTCCTCAGATCCACACAGGAATGCAGCACAGTATCATCTGGCCGTGTCAACCATATTGTGTCCCTCTCAATGAGACATTTCTGCCGCACCTGATGAAGAAATCTGGCTATTCCACACACATGGTTGGGAAATGGCACCTGGGCATGTACATGAAAGACTGTCTTCCAACACGACGGGGTTTTGACTCATTCTTCGGTAATTACATTCAATTAAGTTCTATTTATTCTTGTACAGCCCTTTATCACAACAGTAGTTATCTCGGAGGACTTAACCAACAGTTGAATTTGCTAACACAAATCAGAGAATCGAACAGTTTAAACACAAAAAATGCAAAGATAAAAATAAAAAAAAACACACAAAGAGCTATTGGTCTATAAGGGGCAGATGAGCAATGTCCATAAATTCTGATAAATGTCTAAAAATATTGTTGAAAGTCACATGTCTTGGACCATCAACACTGTTCTTAGACCTTCCTGCATCGGTAAGGAAAAACTAATTAAAAAAATCCAGTGGCAAATCTTGTAATAGAAATTCAATCTGGAGAGACTCGAGACGAAGATTGCATTAGAAGATTTTTTGTCAAGATGCTTGAATAAACACCAGCAAATTTAGATTGAGTACTGTATTGCATTAGGATTGTCGATTAGACCCCGGCAGGAATACTGCATGACGAATGCAGAAGGGAGTTTAATAGAAAACCTAGAACCTGGTGGCGAAGAAGCTGAGCCGAGACATGACATGATATGATACTCCACTGAAGAGGCAGTGATGGGGAGGAGGTGGGTTGCTGCTCGAACAAAAGCTTGAGCTGCAGAGAACTAAGAGGCTCTGTTTAAAGGCAGCCATGAAGTGATGATAAGCTCAGGTGTGTTACGGATTTCTGTTGAGCTCTGGCACAGGTGAGTAGGGGAGGAGTCGGTGCAGAGGGAGAGGAGTCGGTGCAGAGGGAGAGGAGTCAGTGTGGCAGTGACGTCTCTTTGGTCTTCCATTCTGGATTTTCACTTAATTTATTGTATTAGTTGAGTTGACAGGGACATTGTGCATTAATAAAACATTTCTGTAAATGCACCAGAATTTGCCAAGCAGGCTATTTTTTATTTGCAGTCCCTGGACAGGTGTACATAGTCTCCCTAAAGCTAAAAGTCGTACAATAATGAAATGCAGAAAACACAGACAGTCAGGGAGAACAAGAACACATATATCATACAATAAAAAGACAGTTCACATACAAAAGAATGAGTATATTGCCTAGACTAATGTTTACATGTCTGCTGTGTTATCAAACAGTTTTTAGAGTGAGTATGGTGTGAATTCTCTGAGGGATGGAGTTCCAGTCTCTGGCAGCGGTTACAGAGAAGGCACTCTGACTGAAGGAACCAGGCAGTCCCCTCGTGCTGCCCCTCTGGTTACCCTCTGGACAAACTGACTGAGTGGAGGAGATGACTGATTGTGGATTATTTTATATATTAAACAGAGATTTGAATACTTGATGAGATTTTCCCAGGTTAAAAGCCTGTGCTTTTGAAGAATATTGCAGTGATGATGTCGTAAGGGTTTTTTGTCCAGTACTTTTTTTTCCGTTTGTATAATAATTCTATTGGTTTTTATGTCTTTTTATTTGCGTGTGACCAAGTTGTCAAACAGTAAGTGATGTGAGATAGGACCATGGAATGCATAAACATTTTTGCGGCTTGCAGAGATAGTTATGACCTGATGAACCGGAAATTTGATAGATTGAATTTGACTTACAGACCTTATTCACTTGTGTTTTGAATGCTAGATTTGAGTCTATTATGATGCCCAGATATTTGTATTCTGAAACAATTTGCAATTTTTCACCTGCAATTAAACTTCATAAAAGTCAAATGCCAACGTTTACTTTGATGTTTTCAATATTTTTTCTTCTTTTCTGACAGGGTATCTCACCGGCAGTGAAGATTACTTCACCCATACCCATTGTGCTATGGTATCCACCAATCTTTCTCGATGTGCACTGGATTTCAGAGAAGGAGAGGAGGTCACCAACGCTTATAAAGGATCCTATTCCACAGAGCTGTTCAGTGAAAGAGCCACCAGTATCATTCAAACACACAACCCAAAGCAGGTAAACATTCAAACTAAAACAATTACTATTGAAGGATGCCGAAAATCTCCATTGACAAAATAGAAGGCAAGGGAGTTTAATTTAAAATCTGGAGGTACCGTGATTGATTTCAAGCCTCTACTTTTTCTTTTAGTTATTTGAACCCTACGGCGTCTATATAGAGATACTGCCAATGTATGTCATTTGTGACGGTTATTTTGTTAGGGCTGTGTCCAAAATCTTTCCTCTATCACATGTTGATAGATTATATAGTATGTACACATTCCTGCTTCCTGGTCTGTTTATGTGAACAGCAGAAAGAAATATCAGGGAAATACACAGTACTTTTTTGTGTTATTAGGGCTATTGTCAGAATGGTTTATTATTATTTTGGCTCAAGTTTTCATAGGGATGGGATGCAGCATAAATGCAGCCTATATTTGTTTGTCTTCAATATAATATACTTTCTACAGTGAGTTTTTTACCCATGGATCTTCTGTGAGTTCTCTCTGGTATGTGATTGAAATCCTGTGCTCACCACTTACCCAATTCTTGCCTCATGATCTTTATTTCAGCCCTTGTTCCTCTATGTCGCGCTTCAAGCAGTGCACGCACCTCTGCAAGTCCCAATGCGCTACCTTTCCCCATACGGTTTCATCAAAGATCATAACCGACGCATGTACGCTGGGATGGTGTCTGCGATGGACGAGGCTGTCGGCAACATCACCGCGGCCCTTAAACAAAGCGGGCTCTGGGAAAACACTGTGCTGGTTTTCTCAACAGGTATGATCCTGTGAAAACTAGTTCCAATCATTTTATAAACAATATTCTATATGCAAGAATGTTAAACTCATTCCAGAAATGGGCCATTGCCCATTGCTGCTTCATTGGAATGAAAACGAGTTTGGTACTAATATAGTATGCTACTATACAGTTTGCTAAATGTTGTCTTTTACAACCACAAACATAAAGACAATTCATAACTAGATAATTCTGAGGTGAAAGCAAATTATACACAACTATGTTATTGAAAAGAACAAATCTTGTATCATTAAAATAAGATAAGAGATTCTTTAATTGTCCCACAGTGGGGAAACTTCAGTGTTGCAGCGCACATACAGGACAGTAGAGCAAATGTTCAAAAACAATAGCTGCTAAGTCATCATCATATATCATACATCATGCATGTATCGATTTTTTGTCACTTCTAAATGATCTGGTACTTTGTTTTGTTTTTAAAAAATACATCTAAGACAAAATACTTGTTTCATAAACATGACAAAATGTGCTAAATGTCCAAACCACCTTTCTAGGAGAATCTGCCAATTTGCTTGCTCTTTTCCTAAGTACTTAAAATGGCCAGTAGAGGGCAGTATATCTTACCTCACTGCTTACATACAATATATTGGAGATATTTTACTGTGAGTTTAACTAAAATATTGTCGCAGGGAACAATAATAGACCTGAAAGAAGTGGAGTAGCATTTTTGTGCAATGTTAATGATATAATCCCACGGAAGGACATTCTGTCATGTCATTATCACTGTTTACAACAAACGTTTGTCCACATTTATCTATTAACAATTTAACAAACTTCTTCTGCTCATCTTATAGAATTAATGCTGGCGTTACCTAGACTCTCTCTAAACACGTTTTCATTTCTAATCCATCTCTAATTAGACTGTAATGATTTTCATGTGAAACAGCAGGTATCTTCTTTGAACCAAGAGGGCTATTTTGGGTTCTTAAGGGCAATTAGAAGACAGGAACTGCTTGCAAGTGTGAGAGTGTGAGTCAGGTCTGCCGTAGGTGGTCGTTTTCATTGTTCTCTCTCACATATGGTTGGTCCTCATTCGGTAGACGCTCTGTTTGCTGACTGGAGGCAAATAGTTGTTTTAAACCAGTAGCCTTGACTGACCTTCACATCAGCTCTTCCATTACTTTCCATTAAATCACTCGCCCTTCCCATATTTACAACTTACAACGTCACTTTGGTGAAACTGTAACCGCCGTGCCGTAATTCGACTCGTATTTTGTATCGGTCTAAACAGGAAGCCATTGAGTCCAGAGGTTCAGTCATTTCGAGATAGTTGTATGATGACATTTTCTGTTAGCAGTTGAGAAAGCTGGAAGAGTCTGTGCAGCAGCTTGAAAAGACATTATAAGCACAGGGTCTTTTCCTGTTTGTTCCAGAATTGCGAGGCTATTGGAAAATGAAACTTGCCTCACTTTAAATGGTGTGTTTATGCTGGGCCCAGTGAGCGTGTGTAAATGCTTTTATGAAAAGAGGCTGAATGACAGAAGGAGACGTGACACTATTGTTTCCATTTTCCTCGGTCTATTACTTTTCCTTGTTTTCACATTTAATTTGCTGTCTGGTTTGTAAATCTGTTTTGCAAGTGCAGAGCCTTTGTTGACTGTTAGCCTTAGCATTTTTTGGTCAGTGTTCATGTATTTATTACCTCACATTTACTGACCTATTGTGTCTCGGGACCAGACAACGGTGGTCAGACCATGACTGGTGGCAGTAACTGGCCCTTACGAGGACGAAAGTTGACGCTATGGGAAGGTGGCATCCGCGGAGTGGGGTTTGTGGCTGGTCCTCTGATAAAGCAACCAGGTTCTGTGAGTCATGAGCTGATCCACATTTCTGACTGGCTGCCCACGCTGGTGGCTCTGGCAGGTGGCAGGACTAACACCACTAAACCTCTGGATGGGTTTAACGTCTGGAGCACGATCAGGTGAAGTGATAAAACTGCAATGATGCTACAATGTTATAACCGTAGAATGTTACATTATAACTGAATATTCTGTGATCCCACAGCGAAGGCCACGCCTCTCCCAGACTGGAGCTTCTGCACAACATTGACCCTTTATTTGAGGACCACTATCCATGTAAGACCATACACTGTTCTTAGATTTCCTCATACAAATATGAGACAGTATAGACCATTTTCCAGAAATTAGTGGCATAACTGGGTTTTTAGTGTGTCTTTTTTATCCATTTAAGTTTTGAGATTAAGGGAACTAACTTGAGATTAAGGGAACTAACTTTCTAAAGATTTAGTTTACAACTTACATTCAACAACAACATCTGGGACCACTGAAGCATTTCACAACGTTGTTTGTTATACATTAGGCAACAAACCCAATTCATGATTTAGTGCTAATGTGAGAGGACAGTTTATAATGTAATTATTTATGACCCCAGCTTACCCAATCAATTTAACGTCTATGAGACGCAGCCCAGTCTCATCATTGTGGTTGAGTGCATAACGTTTGTATCTGTTTTCTTTATCTTTTTAGGCAAGGCAAGTTTATTTGTATTGCACAGTTCATACACAAAGCAACTCAAAGTGCTGAACCAAACTAGAAAGTGAATAAATATTCACAGCACATTTAAAAGAGTGGATACAATCCCTCGGTTGTATGCACAGCTAATCAGAACTGATATAAATATATAAAGATGACTTACTTACTTTACTTAGCCACAGGAAGCCAGTGCAGAGACCTGAGACCAGGACTAACAAGATTGGTTCCTGGTTTTATTTTATTTTTATACAGCTTGTTGCATGGATAAGAATCTCCAATCTATACCCAAACTAAAATATAATGTCTAAATCCATTTTTCAATACTTTCAGCCCATGTGTCTACTGCGTTAGCCCCGCCCCTTTCCTTTCTACTTTTGCACACTTTGTAGACTTGTTGTGGATCCTTTTGAACTTAAGACGACTCTGCTTATATTGATACAATGTTACAAATATCCATGCTCTCAGGCAAGAGAGACCTGGAACTTTGTAGATTTGAAAGAACTGAAAGACAAAAGAGATCCTCCTCAACACAAGTTTATACTCATATATGGTCTTTACAGTCACAAATAATATGAAACAGCCAAGTTTTCTGTATTTTCCCAAAGAATGTTTGTTGAAAGAATGCAGGAAAAAACGTTTGACAGTGTTAGAAGAGAAAGGTTACTTGCAAATCTGCCTAATCAGAACCACGTTGCTGGGGTCAACCACACTGTGAACCTGAAAATAGTCTCAAGGCCACATCTTCTTTGTTAAAACCCCAGACACATGGGCTCTCGTCTGGGAGACATTTGCAGTAAGTGCAAAAATAGCTCACAACTTAAGTGCAAGGATTTGTAAAACACAAAAGAAGGCCTTTTTGTTTCATAAACCGATAAGCTCTTTGTGATTGGTTAATTTGATTTATGCACAAACTGTTTTAGTCTAAAGTAGAGGCTTGTTGTTACCAAATAAATATGGGTAACATGTGACTGATCATGACCTTTAGGAGGCTTGTATTCTGTTTGGGTTTATCCAGTCGCTCACGAGTGGATTCAATGTCTACTCTGTGTATTTATTCATTACAATTGTAGTAGGACCTTTTTTAGCGCACATTTTATTTCATTCATTTAATTCAATCCCCCCCCCCCCCCCCCTGTTCTATCTAGACCAGAGCAGTCATTTTGATTGCTTTTTGTTTTGAAATCATAATTACTCAGGTCATTCTCATTTTTGCTCTATATAACTCTTATAACTTATTGCCATTATGCCATTATGTTTATGAAATTATCTTTTTATTTCTTTAATTTGAGTAGTTTTACCTATAACTCCACAACTTTTAGTCATTCGTGGTCGCTTGGCAACCAAAAATCTATGGCAGTTATAGCGTTTTTTTCCCCCAGCAGTCCTAGTTACCATAGAAACACACTGTTTACTGGCCAGTTCAAGATATATTCATGTAAAAGTTAGCAAATCTCATCAGTTACTTACCTTTTAGAAAACTGCAGGATAACAAACTTTTGGGGGATTTTTGAAGTCCATGGGCGCCTCTGGAAGTTCTAGTCTAGTAGTTTCAGAATTTGGGGAAAGTTCATTGAAACGTACACAGCCAAGAAATGGGGCCATTGTTATAGTAGTTTAAATTGACGCACTTCACCAGTCCTTGCTACATTATACTTGTTTTTGAATCAAAGAATAACACGATAGCTCTCACATTTATTTTCACATCTCTCTAGACTTGCAGTAATGTAGCTGACCCTCACCGTTGTTTAAAATCCACTGCCACAGTCTTATATCCAATATCGTCTCTCTCAGCACTTTTCTAGAACTCTTGTCTCAATAGATGACCTCTATAACGCACACTGTCCTCTGTCCTCTATTCACAGGCGAAGGAAACGGAGGAAATTTAACTTTGGCTCAGACGGACAGTGGAAAATCCTGGACCTACTCTGGCTTCAACATTTCCTTCCACGCGGCGATTCGATGGTCAAACTGGAAACTGCTAACAGGCAATCCAGGTCTGTATCGTCTGTCTGTGAAACAAGTGGGATTATTGTTACGTTTAAAATATACGTTTATTCTTTTTGTATAGAAACATGTTAACGTAATCTTTTCAATTCCTTGACAGAATTTGGAGTATTAGTAATGTTTAGACTGTTATGTATGCTGCTCTAAAGCTCCCAGGTTATTATTAGTTTAGTTCTGTTTTGTTTTCTTTTTCTATACATATAAAGTTGACATCGACTGACATTTGGCGTGTCAATTGGTCGAAGGTTCCTTAGTCGACAACTCATTTGATTTCTCTCTTATGTGGGAGAAATTTAGCAAAAACATTTTGGTATTTAGGGGGCGACAGTGAGTATTGGCCTTTGGGCCTGAAGGTCGTGGGTTCAAGCCCGCCGTAAGACCTACTTCATGACTCCCACTGGTGACTTCTGTCGTGTCCTTGGGCAAGACACTTAACCCCACTTTGCCTGAAGCCCCCGCTGAAAGATCAAGGCTCCTGTGGACTCACCCCCTGCAGGAGGATCAGTGAGGGGCTGGTGCTTCTGTGTACTGGGTGCAGCTCTGACTGTCACCCCCCCCGACCCAGAAATGAATTAAGGGGAAGAAAATGGATGGATGGATGTTGGTATTTACTGTAGTTGCCAGACTATTAAGCACACCTATAAACAGGACAAGCTACATTTGGAAAAAAATGTTTTTTTCTTTTCATTTATAGGCCTTGCTTGAATATAAGTTGACTGTTTTAACTGGATACAACATGATTTTACGCCCTGTTGACCCAGGATTAACTTCTTGACACAGAAGCATGCTATACTTTACCATAACTAAATAGTCCTGCAGCCACTTGATACCCCACCTCTTACACAACATACATTGGCCCCATTGCTGTACATGTGATGCCTCCTTTGAGTGTCACATCACCACGGATATCAAATACATTATATATTACATTTTTGTGAAAAAATTACTCCCCGAAAAGCTCTGCAAAGCTTCTAAATGAGGTCCCACATTGTATAAACAAAAATACAAGGATGACTAGTGGAAGTTTAGTGGCCTATATATCACCAATGCATTATTATTATTATCATTATTGTACAGGCCGTAGGGTTCATAGAACATGAATAAAGTAGCAGCTTATAGTTCAGTATGTACTGCACTGTTAAATAAAGGCCCGATCAATGTCTTCAATTTTATCAATTATTTGATCAAATCAAATAATTGAAAAATCAAATAAAAACTAATTAAGCATTTTTCTTGTCCTTTGTACAGCTTATCAATCCACTGGCCGTGTATTTACTCGACCAAGACATTCTTTGGTTGATTACAGCCTAGTCATTATACTACTGGGAAAAATGATATATGAAGAAGTCCACGTTTTTGCCACAATACAGAAAAATAACGATTTGCATATGATTTTTTTGTTTTTTGTTTTTAGCCAATCAAAGTACTGTATATAAATTTCAGTTTTGTTGGAAATTAACTTTTGTCTTTTGGTCTTCCAGGTTGTGGCGCTTGGTTCCCTCGACCTGAACAGAACACGTCCAGTATCCTCGACATGCGTCCTCTGAAGCCGGTGATGCTCTTTGACATCGACAAAGATCCACAAGAGAGGAACGAGGTGTCTGCTAAGTTCCCTACGGTGGTTGAGTATCTCCTTGGCCGACTCGCCGTCTACCAGAAACAAGCGTTACCAATAATCTACCCTGATAATGACCCCCGGTGTGACCCAGGGCCGGCTGGAGCTTGGGGGCCGTGGGCGTAGGATGACATGAGCTGATGAGAGTTAGTTGGATAGAGACACGCACAAAACATGATCCTAAACTCTCATATTGACTTGGTGGACTTGGGAAGTGGAGGAAAACAGTTACAGATAATACACTATTTTTGTATTTTAATTCAATTCAATTAAATTTTTTCTTGTATAGCCGTAAATCACAACAGTAGTTATCTCAGAGGACTGTACAAAACCATTGATTCCGCCAACACAGGTCAGAGAATCAAAAGGTTCAAAGACTAGAAATGCAATAATAAAAAACACGTAGAGCCATTGGTCCTTAAAGCTGCACTAACTCACTTTGTGAAATTTTTTAATGTGAGCGCTGGCCTCGCTCTTTCTGCTCGCCCTCCCTGCATTCACAAAGCTACCGCCCCCCACTACTCCCTCCCACTCAGCTTGTGCTCATGTGCTAATTGTTTATGGAGCTCACGTCTCACAATATGGATCGCACATTTGAACGTGGATGGCGTGGCCATAGAATGATAGAACCCGGAAGGGCGGAGGAACGAGACTTTCTTTTGGCTGTTTTGCTGTGTAAGCAGTAACCGGTAACGAAGACACGGGAAGTTTCAGGTTAGCCTCGCCGCTTGTTTACCTTAGCTGTCTGTGCTAACGAGAGACCTGTAGCTTTTCTCAAGAAAGCGGGGCCAGTGGTCCGCTGTGATTGGTCACAATCGGGACCCAAAACAAATTCTCTTCCTTGTTGCACGAAAACTCGATCTAAAATAAAATGACACGCCAGCACAAATCTGCGCTACTATTTCTTCAAAAGGACGTATGTCCCAATGCACTGCATGGATATGGATTGAATTTTTGTAATCCATCCATCCATCCATCCATTTTCTTCCGCTTTATCCGTTGCCGGGTCGCGGGGGCAGCAGTCTAAGCAGAGACACCCAGACTTCCCTATCCACACACACTTCCTCCAGCTCGTCCTGGGGGACCCCAAGGCGTTCCCAGGCCAGCTGGGAGACATAGTCCCTCCAGCGTGTCCTGGGTCTTCCCCAGGGCCTCCTCGTAATGAATACAAAAATAAAATTAGTTAGTGCAGCTTTAAGGGGCATATTTTTAGTAAAATGTAAAGAATAATCCCATCCACACTGCCAAAAATGATGAAATACGATGTAGTAATTGCTGAAATTGAGTTTTATCTGGACTGTCTTAAAACAAGATCTGCCAACGGGACAAAGTCATTTAATCTTATTTCAAGAACTGTTCCTATAATTTCTCATTCCAAGGGAGACATTTCTTGTATTGTTTTGAAACAAAATAATTTAGCTTGCCCCATTGGCAAATCTTTTCATCTTTTTTCATCACTTTTTGCAAGATTAATTTTTAAAGCATCTATAGTTTTCTTCAGTTGAAAATGTAAGCTGAATTTGATATGTATACAAAACATGTTTGTGTTTTATCTTATGCTGAAGGTTTTTAAAACAAATGTATGTTATGACCGTGTGCCAGAGTCAAATGCCTTGTAGACTGATGGTGCAGATGTATATGTTGAAATGTTAGCCTTCATTGCCGTTTACAATGGCACTGCTCGTCACGCTGCTTTGCTATAGAGTGCCTTTCATATCTCGAGTCTCAGGAGGAACATAATTGTGTAAAATAGTGCCTCTTTGTGCCCTTTCACTACTGGAAGTCGACCTTTTTGTTCTGATAATATTCGAAGTAGCACAGGGTAGAATCCCCACAGAGAGACCCCTGAACTGACTTATGCCCTCTTTGTCGTCTCTTCCAAAAACTGCTTAAAAATGTCTTCCATACTCACTCATGTTTTCTCCATAATTGACATATTTCAGTCTGATTTGAACTATTATTTGCTTAAAGCCTTTAAGGCAGTTTATACATGTGGTTGGTTGTCCCCAGGTTGAGGGGAAACCTGTTTGTAAAGAAAACCGCTAAATCTCTGTGTATATTTTCTTTGAGAATTCTGTTGCTGATGGAATTTAAACCAGGATTTTGGTAATGGCTGGTTGCGAGAATATTTGTTTCTTTGCCGGAGCATTACATTTGTCAGTTTGTTTACTCCACAATCATAACTTTGGATCTCCAGGATGGTTGGATTTCTATGTAATTAGTGCTTCTACCACCTATCTGAAAAACGCTTGCCGTTTCTCCACACAACCACTTTAAACTCCTCGTACATGTCTGCGGTGAAGCTACCCCTTCTAAAGACTTATTCCATCTTCTCCCCTTGTCATTACGAGTAGCTAACCACAGCAGTGCCACGACTTGCCTTCTCTTCATAGTTTTTTAACTTACATTTTATTGTATAATGCAAATTTTTACAACAGCAAAAAGCAAAACAAAAAATAGAGACAACGTCAATTGTTTTTTACAGACATTTCCCTCTTTTTCCAGTGATTTTCACATGTAGCTTGTTGCACCTTAATAATAATAATCCACAGTAGTAGCAGTAGCTGCCCTGGGGCACACTGACAGTATGTACTATCGGCCCCTTCCAGACACCACCAACATACTCATTCCAGGCCATGTGGGTGAAGTGTCTTGACTAACAACACAATGGCACTTTACAGCCGCAGTTGCCCCACTTTGGCACCTGGTGTTACTGGAGGTCTCCCATCACAGTACTAACCAGGCCGGCCTGCCCTGCACAGCTTCAGATGTCTGACAGGATCTGGCATTTTCATGCTAAATCGAAGTCTCTCCACAGTGTGATCTTCTTCTACTCCTTCCAGTTGTTTAGTGTCGGGGGATCTTATTTGTACCATTTTCGCATTATTGCTTTTCATGAGGCTGCCAGGAAAAATTTTAATTGAAAATAATCTTTTTAAAAAACACTAGCCAAGATTTCAGCAACATGTATCTAAATATTTTGTCGATTTCTTTGCCATTACAAACTTTGCCAATGTCCCTCATCTTGTTCAACACAGTCTCCAGCAAGATTGATTTATCGATAATTCTGATTTATTTATACAGGATCCATAGCTATGAATAATGAAAGAAAAGTTATAAAAAAAACCATAACACACATAATAATCACATACATATTTACAGCAGGTCTTCTCACACACACAGAGAAGCACACCAGTGACTCCAAATTTTAGACGTGAATCTTTTTGGTTCAAGCATCATACAAGGTTTTCCTAACAGTTTTCAAGAAATAAAAGTGGTTATGGCAACTCAAGGCAACTCAAAGGGCTGAACAAACAACCACACACGCCTTTAAAATCAAAAATAATCACAGTACATTAAAAGAAAGAAAATCCCTCAGTTGTATAAAACAGAACCTGGATTTAAACATGGTCAGAGAAGAGGCCTGTCTCACATTTTCGGGAAGATTATCGCAGATTTTAGCAGCACGAATCTGAAATGCGGATATTTGAGTTTCGCACACAGTTTATACCACGATTCTTCATCTATTTCTTCTTTTTAAATTCCTCTTCATATTTTTGATCTTTTTGACTCGGGCCCCGTGAAGTGTGCCTCCCGACGCGACATGGCCTCTGCGTGGATCAACAGTGACATTGGCTCCACGTGACGCACTATTGTTACAGCTGCTAGCTCCACTGTACGCCTGTGTGCCCGGCTAAAACACGATAGCCAGGACTCAATGACAGCGGAGAGACTGTTTGGTTTTGAAGCTGCGTTTTTTTTTTTTTTTTTTTTGGTGATGATGGATGATAAAACGTTGCCATTTTTTGGGGGCGGGGGGTCTCGTTTTAGTGTGTTTGCGTGGAAAGAGACGGCAGATGTCAGACAAGGACTGGAATTCCAAACCATATTGTGCCTGCCGGTGCTGCCCGCCTGTGAAAACAGATTAAAATCATGCTAACCAGTGTAGCGAGGAATGTGTTAAAGCCTTGAATAGGGGAAATCCAACAGTGAATAGGTTTTTATTTTTTTTTATTTTCTCAAAAGTCCCTCAACGAATGGCCAGAGAGCATGTAGAGTTCTGGCATTCAATCATGACAGGCACTGTACGTTGCATTGTGTGTCTCTGTGTGTGTATTCTGTATGTGTATGTGTGTGTGTGTCAGGGTTAAATAATGAAGAGGAAGCAACACCAAAGAAAGCCAGTCAAACCTTATTAGATTTGAGTAATACAAGTTCAAATGAGATAATTGCTGAAGAATGTCCCGTTGCTCCTTCTCTCAATAAAGTATTTTTCTGTAATAAAAAGGCTCTTTGAACTCTCAGAGCAGGGAGTTCTAATGTTGGTTTTGGAAGTGAATTACCCAGAATATTATTGTATTATGTATTGAAATGTATTGTTTGTACTGTTGATGTTGTCGTTTGTTGTTTTGTATTTTAATCTTTTGAGGTTTCTGAAAATGGTTTGAGGTTTTGGGAAATGTAATGTGCAATACAAATAAAATACTATTATTATTATTAGCATATGTACATTTTTGTTCTCCCTAACTTTGTGACTTGTTCTGTTTCTGTATCAAGTTTATTTCATTATTTTTATGAAATTATCTTTCATTTTTAGCAGTTAAAGCTGATTCGGGTAAACGACCGGTTCTGGTTACCATAGTTACCATTTGGTCTTTAGCAGCTGTATTTCAAGTTTAGCACTTATTAAAAGTGAGTAATGGTGTAAAGAAATTCCTTTGATAAATCTGGTGACTTTTTTTGGGACATTTTCTCACAATTCCATCGGTTGGCTCCGGGAGTTTTAGTAGTTTCATAATTGTAGACGTGTTAGCTCTTAACCCTAACCCATTTAACCGATCAGACTGCATCAGCTTTTCCCATTTGAAGAAAGTAGATTGCCGCCCGCGCATCCATCCATCAGGGCAGTAAATATTGACACACGTTTTTTTACAAAGACAAAGTGAAAAAGGGTCAACCGTCACTCTGACTGCAATAATAAGATTAATATGGACTTTCTGTCTGTGCAGAGTGATGTGGAGACCTCTGTGTCAATTGTAGGGACTGACTTTTCACTTTGCCTTTGCATGGGAACAAGTAAATACACCATTGGCTAAGCAACATAATACCCCGTAACCCTTTATTGT